GTGCTCTGCTTTGGTGAGGCCGCACCTCAAGTGCTGTGTTCAGCTTTGGGCCCCGCACTACAAGAAGGACATCGAGGCCCTGGAGTGTGTCCAGAGCAGGACTACGAAGCTGGTGAAGCACAAGTCCTGTGAGGAGTGGCTGAAGGAGCTGGGGGTGTTTAGTCTGGAGAAGAGGAGGCCCTGGGGAGACCTCATTGCTCTCTGCAGCTACCTGAAAGGAAGGCATGGGGAGCTGGGGGTTGGCTCCTTCCTACAGGTAACTAGTGATAGGACCAGAAGGAGCAGCCTCAAGTTGCACCAGGGGAGGTTCAGGCTGGAAATGAGGAGACATTTCTGCTCAGAAAGAGCAGTCAGGCACTGGGACGGGTTGCCCAGGGAGGTGGCGGAGTCACCGTCCCTGAGGGTGTTAAGGAAAGGTTGGACGTGGTGCTTGGGGACGTGGGTTAGTGGGTGATAGTGGTGGTACGGGGATGGTTGGACCAGATGATCTTGGAGATCTTTCTTTCCCAACCTTAATGATTCTGTGATTCTTTGTTTCTGGTGCAAAACAGTATTTCAGGATAATTCCTAGGGAAGGCAGCCTTCTGGAAACCCCCTGAGAACATGGACAAACTTACGTAAGGAGGCCTGCACACTGTTGGACAGCCTGGCAACTGCTGGAGGCTCCAGCTCGGGCTGCAGCCAGGAGCAAGGCTGCACTGCCTGGTTGGCTCTGATAAAGGGACCACGGCTTGAGGCCCCCATCTTGTGGCAGTGGGGGTGAGTGACGGCGACAAAACATTTGGCTGTTTGGAGCACAGTGCTTCTGTGGCCAGGCAGAGATGGGGCACTGCCTGCTGGGACAGGCTGCCTCCTCTGAAACTCCTGCCCTGCTGTGTCCTACCTAAGGACACAAGGAAGTGAAAGCCTGGCAGAGGCAGCAGCCAAATCCTGACCCACACACGTACTATTCCCCTGCATTGCTCCTTACACTTCACTCTTCATGCACAGGGGCAAGTGTCTGTCCTTCCACCCAGACCTACCGGTGTGGCACATAGGCCAGGGAGCGAGGGGGCCCATGACACCTTCAAGCTGGCTCCGTGCCATGGCTTTGCTGTGCTGGCTGCCCCAGGTGTACTGGGTCTGGCTGCCCAGCACGGTAAAACCACCACACCAGGGCGTTCTTGAACCTTCATCCCTGCACCAAGCACCTCTGAGCCCTGGCAGGGACAGGACACAGTTACTCAGCACCTGGCAGGTTTTGGGTTGCTTTCCCTACCCCCCACCCCCCCAACTATCTGCTGCCCTGGTCCTTTACCACACCCGCAGGCTGGAAAAGAGCCCATGAGACTCTTATCAGCCACTTGCAGCCCCCCACCTGCCACGGCCACCCCACAGCCTCACTGCTGGCCACGATAAGGGCTGGAAGATACACAGAGCCCCCAGCACTGCTTCACAGCCTGCTCTCCTTTTCCTGCCCCTACATTATACTGCTGAGGCTCTGTCCCAAAGAGCAGGATCTGGGGCTGAGCCCTAGGAGTCCCTTATGCCTGCTGTCCCCCCTCAGTGTGCCCCCAGCACCCCTACTAAGCAGCACACTAGCAATGCATCGTTAGATAGGAAAAGAGAAGTCCTACAAGCATTGTACAGCCAGTTGTGGGGCTGCACGGAAAGCTGTCCCTGCGCAGGGGGCCCTCACCATGCCATCACACAGCTGGTGGCAGGTGCCCATCCTCCAGTCTCCTGCAAGCGCTTCCAGGATGAGGTGGTCTCTTCCCATGCAACTTTGTCCTCAGCGTGGTAAGGGGTGCACAGGACTCTCCACCCCAACTGGAAGGATCCCAGCGTGACTATGGTGCTCTGGTGGGAAGGTCAGGACGGGCTGGGGTTGCAGGGATCTCCCAAGGACCAGCTTCTGGCTGCTCTCTGGCCTTTCCTCTCCACCAGTGCCTAGAAATGCTCTGCTCATACCCACAGCTGGCAGAGCACTGTCTGCCTCTTGGGCACCACCACCCAACCACCTTCTCTCCAAGCAGGAGAAGAAAACAGAGCCCCTTTCCCCGTACGTGCCCACCTGGTTCAGGGGATCTCCAGTTCGGGTGCACAGAGCCCCAGAGCCGCTCCCTCCCTCTCCCTCCCCATGGAGGAACAACCAGAGCAGGACACCAGGGCTGGAGCACAAATGCAACAGATTTTATTTCAGATCATTTGGCTGCTCGCAGTTGGAAGGCTGGCAACAGGGTGGGTCCAGCTCTAGCCACGGTGCCGTCTAACGGTACTTGGCAGTCAGCACAGCACCCACGGCGCACATGAACTTGTCCAGGGAAGCGTGGACCTCTGGGGTCAGGGCAGCGGGGTGGTGGATGGCAACCACCACCAGGAAGCAGTGGCCCAGGAACTGAAAGGCAAAAGGAGACGGTGAGCGAGTGGGGGAGGTAAAGGGGTGGCCGGATGGCCCAGGAGGGGTGCTGAAGAGGAGCTGGGGGGAGTCCCCAGACTCACTTTGAAGTTGACAGGGTCCACACGGAGCTTTTGGGCGTGGAGGTCACTGAGCTTGGAGAGAGCACCCGCGATGTCATCGATGTGGTTGACAGCCTCAACTAGGGCAGCCGCCACCTTCTTGCCATGGGCCTTGATCTGAGCAGAGCCGTGGGACAGGTCAAAGTGGGGGAAGTAGGTCTTGGTCTGGGGGTAGGCGATGAACATCCTGTGGAGCAGAGCGAGTCAGGGCCAGCAGGATCAACAGACAGGGGGGACAGATGGGGTGGGGTAGGACACGGACAGTCACGGTGGGGGAAAGCATGGGGTTAGAGAGAAGAGGATCGGGGACGGACAAAGGACGGGGACAGACACCTACCTCTCCAGGGTCTCAGCGCCATACTCTTCAGCATGGCCACCGATTTTGGAGAAGACACCCTTGACGTTGGTCTTGTCAGCCGCGGACAGCACCATGGTTGCAGCTCAGTGTTGGCAGCCCCCAGCACGGGTGCCCCCACTGGTGCCGCCGGCCTTATATCCCCGTGCCGGCCCGGGCGCCGCCCGCCCCCGCCCGCCCCGCCGCGGCTGGACCTCGGCCAGGCGGGGCCGCCGCCCTGCCCCGCCTGCGGCACCGGCACCACCGGGGGGGGGCGACCCCGGCATGAACTGGGGTCGGGGTTAGGGTTAGGGGGGGTCTGACCCCGGCACGAGGTGGGTTTAGGGTTAGGGTTTGGGGGGGCTGATCCCGGCATGAACTGGGTTAGGGTTAGGGTTAGGGTTGGGGTTAGGGGAGTCTGATGGGGTTAGGGTTAGGGGGGTCTGACTCCAGCACAAGATGGGATTAAGGTTAGGGTTTGAGGGGGGGAGGTGACCCCGGCATGAGCTGGGATTGTGGTTGGGGTTGGGATTAAGGTTAGGTTTGGAGGGGACTGACCCCAGTACAATCTGGGGTTAGTGTTGGGGTTGGTGGGTTCCAACCCTGACAAGAGCTGGGTTGGGGTTACGGCTAGGGTCTGTGCTGGCACAGGTTAAGGTTAGGGTCTGTGGTGACACAACTGGAGGATTCCCTGTCTCCTGGGAACAGGGTACACACAGCAGGGCCAGGGGGTCAGCACCAGGCACAGATGCAAGCACCAGCCTGCAGGAGCTGACAGCTGGGGAAGGAAGGAAGGCACGCAGGGCCACAGTGGCCCATGGTGAGCCCTGTGCACCCTGAATGATGAAGGTGAGGAGGGCAAGGAGGATGAGGAGGGCGAGGAAGATGAGGACGGCTGGCAAGGTGAGGGCAGCAGTGCTTCCAGTAGGTTCGAGAGCAGGCGGGTGGAGGACAGTTCACACCCCTGTTTCCTCCATGGCCAGCGGTTCTTATCATTTGTGTTTGGGGGAGATTAGCTTGACCTGGCACCATGTCAGAGCATGGGAGGAGGGGGGAGCAGAGCCCAGGGAAAGAGTAGCAGGGCAGAGTGTTTTCATCCTGTGCACACATCAGTGGGGCAAACCGCAAAAGCAGACGAGCCCTTCAAACTGAAGGCACAGGAATATTTGGGGGTAAATGAACATGGAGACAGATTTAGATAATGCTTCAGAGCATGGAGGAAAAGCACTGTGTGTTCATGAGTGCACTCACAAAAGCAGGAGACAGCATGGCACAAGGACTCCCCAGAGCTGTTTCTGTGCATGCAGGGTCCCAGTATGCCCAGTGGCCTGCACTCAGCCACTGCTTTCCTGATGCACTTTCTCTCATCCCTCACAATCTCTTGTTACCTCCCTCTGGTGCCACAGTGCAGAATAAACCCTGGGCTAGTTTAATATCTTATAACCTATCATCTCCTTCAGATCTAAAGCCAGTTGTTTTGTTTTGTTTTGTTTTGTTTTGTTTTGTTTTTGATTCAGGCTCCAAGAATGTGAAACCAGTGGCATTGGAGTACAGCTCTGCAGGGAGCAGCTCACACCTCCCCAGATGCCATGGGAGGAGCAGACACACAGGGCAGGGGCACTTCTCAGGCACTTGCTAGGTATTTGTGGCTCAGGGGCTTGAGACCAAGAGCAGTGTTTGTACTTCATGGTTCACAGTGGATTTTTTTTCACTCTGTGAACTTGTCTGATTGCCTGTGGAGCTCATGCAGGCACTTAGCTCCCACAGCATCCCAAATCAAATCCTAAACAGTCATGGTGACAGAGCCAGGAAGAGTTAATCCTTCCCCAGAAAAAATCCTTCAAGGAGATCCAGGAACCGTGGTTGGCCTCACATACCCTTACCCCCGACCCAAGGTTTGCAGGCATGGGCAGGTGGCAGGCTGAGCTCTGTCCCCGAGGTCCTGCTACCAGCTTCAGGATTGTGTTTAACTCGGCAGGTCCCAAGTTGGGATGGGAGAGTGAGCAGGGCCCTGGAGAGTAGCCATGGACCCCAGAGCCAGTGCCCCCTCCCCACCTCCACAGCCAGCCCCACCAGCAGGTCTCTCCATTCTGAGGGATGTGGGGAAGCAACCCAGCCCTCCCTGGGACCCCCGATGCCCAGTCCCAGCACACACAGACACAGAGCTGTGGTAATGGTGTCTTTATTGAAGGTGCAAGGGTGCAGGCAGTGGCTCATCTGTACTTTTCAGCCAGCACGGCAGCCACGGCGGACATGAACTTGTCAAAGGCAGCATGCATCTCGGGGCTGTAGTCTTTGCCCAGGTGTGCGGCCAGCACCACCTGGAAGCACTGCGCCAGCAGCTGCAAGGCAAACCAGGGCTTAGTACCCCTGCTCTGGACAGACAGCCCTGAGTCTCCCTCAGTCCCCCCCCTGAATCCCCCTGAGGCCCTGAGTCCCCCTGAGTCCCCCACCCTGGCCCTAGCCCCTGCCCAGCTCCCATCCAGACACAATCCCAGCCTGTGGCCCACATCCCAGATGCAATCCCAGCCCCTGCTGTCTGGCTGCTGGCCCCCAGGACCCTGGTACCCAGGACCACAGGACCCTGGCCCTCAGCCCCCAGGACTGCCAGACCCCAGGAACCTCAGACCCCTGGACCCCCAGACCCTGCACCCCAGACCCTCAGACCCCCGGACCCAAGGACCCTAGTCCCCGCTTGCCTTGAAGTTGACGGGGTCAACACGCAGGTTGTAGGCGTGCAGGTTGCTGAGCTCAGACAGGGCCTGGCTGAGGTTGTCCAGGCTCTTCACGGCATTGCCCAGGGCAGCCGCCACTTTCTTGCCGTGGCCACGGACCTGTTCAGAGCCGGGATGCAGGTCGAAGTGGGGGAAGTAGGTCTTGGTCTGGGGGTAGGCGAGGAACATCCTGCCGGAGCGAGGCCAGTCAGTTTTGGTGCCCTGCTGCTTTGCCCATCTCAGCCCACACCCCGTGGCGCTCTGGGTCCCAGCCCGCACCCGCTGCAGGGCTCCTGCTCCCTGCTGCCCACCCCGTGAGTGCCCCCTGGGCCCAGCCCACACCTCTGCAGAGCTTCACTTCCGAATTCCTCCTGGTGGCCAGCCACCTTCTCCCACAACTGCGTGATGAGCTTCTTGTCCTCGGCGGTCAGCATGGCGGCAGCTGGTGTGGCAGGCTGGCAACTGACGGGTTTCTGTGGTGGAGACACCCGTGGGGCCGAGCTCTTATAGCACCCTGCGCTCCCGCCCTGGCCTTATCTTATCAGCGTGGAGGGGTGGAGGGGCTGAGGCCACGCAGTGCCGGGACCAGGGAGAGGCTGCAGCAGTTCCTTGGGGGGCCCCAGCTTCCCCCGAGGGGGCCCTGGGGGCCCGGCCCCAAGGGGGGCCCAGATGGGGCACCACTGCTCTGCTCTGCCCTGCTCTGCCCTTCCAGCTGAGCTGGCCCCCACAGGTGGCATTGCCGCAGCAGGCAGAAGGGATCCGAGGCAGCCCCTCACCAGGCCTGGGGCCGGGGAGAGCACCCAGCAGGGCTGTGCCTTGCAGTCAGCAGCAGCCATCAGCACATCCCATGGGTGCCACAGGCCAGCCACAGCCTTGGTCTTCCTTGCTGGTGCTCCTGTCCAGATATGCCATTCTCCCCTTGCCAAGGCCCTGCTTGGTTCTTTGTCACTTGTGTCAGGGCAGATCCCACACCTGCCCGTGGCCCTCCTGTCCTCCAGCCTCTGGCACATGCAGCCCACTCTGAGCAAAGATCGCTCGGGCCACCTCTGCTCCCCGTGCTGCCTTTGCTTTCTGCATGCTCCCAATGCCTCTGAGCTAGAGCCATGGACAACCTTTGGGGCAAGCCCTAGCAGGTCATGCCATGGACCTGCTGTGGGAAAGGCATCTCTCCATCAGTCCAGAAAAATCTGGGTGGGGGAAGAACCTCTTTCATTGGTACATTGTCTTTCCAAAGTCATGGAATCATAGAATCCTAGAATCATAAAGGTTGGAAAAGATCTCCAAGATCATCTGGTCCAACCATCACCCTACCACCACTATCACCCACTAAACCATGTCCCTAAGCACCACGTTCAAACTTTCCTTAAACACCCCCAGGGATGGTGACTTCACCTCCTCCCTGGGTGACCTGTTCCAAGGCCTGACTACACTTTCTGAGAAGAAATTCTCCAAAATTCTCCAACCTGAACCTCCCCTGGTACAACTTGAGGCCATTCCCTCTAGTCCTATCACTATAGGTCCATACCTTCATGATTTTCAGGCCTGCACTTGTTGCCTCATTCCCATCCCAGTATGTGCTCCTGCCTCTCCACAAATGCTAGGACACTCCATAGGGGCTATGGTGCTTGAGGACTGTCATATCTTTCATTTATCTCTGTATGAAGTCATTGATACAAGTTTGGGTTTAGGCATGTACCAGGTGCTGACCTACCAGATCCCCCTGACTTGAGCACGTTCAGGCTGGATATCAGGAAGAGGTTCTTCACTGAGAGGGTGGTCGCGAACTGGAACAGGCTCCCCAGGGCATAGTCATGGCACCGAGTCTGTTGGAGTTTAAGAAGCGTTTGGATTGTGCTCTTAGTCACATGGTCTGAGTTTTTGGGCAGACCTGTGTGGTGCCAGGATTTGGACTCAAAGATCCTTATGGGTCCCTTCCAAACTGGAATATTCTATGATTCTATGATACTACCTTCTAAGTTGTTGATTTAAACTTCTTAGCTACCCAAAAACCCACCAACATAGTGTGCTTAAAAATCTTACTGGTCACAGAAAATGCTGTGGTACACTTTAACAGGTTTAGAGCAGTTTGATGGTTTCAGACCTTCTGCATCTTCTCTCTCACAATTACCCAAATTCAGAGCCTAAATTTTGTAAATTAGATGAACACTACAGCTCACTGCACCAATTCAGGCTTGTTGATCAGAGTTTGCTTAAGACTTTGTACCCATCTTTTCATGTCAAAACTCCTCTGAGACACACATGGACAGTGAATGTAATTTGATAAATATCTCACTGAAAGAACAGGGATATAGCTCAGCAAAAGAAACAGGGGTCACCCAGTCCTTAGACACAGGTCCTTTCTAAGATGCACTATATGTTGTTTGTTCCACGTGTGGGGAGCTTATCTAGTCTTTGGCCTGTTCACAGCATGTGGCTTACTTAGGTAGAGAATACAACAACAAATGAAGGGACTTCTGATTTTCAAACCTCTCTAAACATTCCTGTATTTTCATGAAGAAGTGATGCATCACTGTAAGTCTTGGGAAGACTTTGGAAGAAGAAGTAAGGATGTAAACAAAACAGCTCACACATCTTTTAGCATCTGGGAGCTGGGAAGGAGTCAGTGGGAGTCAGGAGGGCCTTGGCCAGTGAGGCGTGAGTAGATATGTATGGAAGATTCATGCCTCCCCCCAGGGTGACTGTTGATACAGGCCAGCAATACAGGTGACCTGTATTCTTCCATCACCTTTTTCCAGACAAACACTCATAATTTCTGATCCCCCAGATGTCATCAACACTCCAGTGTTAAGTGTTCATTCCAGTGACCACTAGTTTTCCCAAATTTCAAATGCATGCAAAGTTCCCAGTATATAAACAGGAAACGTCAAGCTGAGGGGACGGTCCCTTTACCAAACAGATGTGACTAGCAGGTGTGATAGCCCAAGGTGTTCAAGAAACACCAAATACCTTGACCAGACCCTGTGAAGAAGAGCATGCAAATACAATGCTCAGCATCGCCTTGTGCACATCCCACCATATGAAATGCAGCTATTGTTCAGAACAGGCTGTGCTGGATTTTGGAGAGGCCAAATGAAAAGCCTGGGTCCATTCAATATCCTAGAAGGGTAAAAGAATGCTTCCTAATCAGCTTTCCATATTATGTAGAGATTTCAGGACACCCCTACCTGAACACTACAGTGTAAGTGGAACATATGAAGATGAAAGCACAGAGACCATAGCTCACAGTTTAATTATTTATTGTGGTTTGCAGATGACCAAGCCCCTGCATAGGGGATTTGAGAGGACTGCATAGGAAGGAGTGAATACCCCAAAGCTTGGCAGCTGTGATGTGCCATGGATGTGCGTCCCTCATCCTCTGTGGAGGCCGTTTATCTGTACTTCTCAGTCAGAACAGAAGAAACACTGGACAGGAACTTGTCCCATGCAGCATGGACTTCTGGGGTGAAATCACTGGGATAGCGGGCAGCCACAGAGCACAGGATACAGTGGGAAAGCAGCTGTAAGGGAAAACAAGATAAATTCAATTGTAATCAGTAACAGATGCCAGTCTGAGGGTCTGCAATTGACCTTGGTTTGTCCCAGAATGTCTGGGATGACAAATACATGTCCCAAACAGGTGATGCTAGTGCCTGAAGAAGGAGTGTGTGAAGAAGCAGACTGGCCTCTTGTATTATATGGGCAAAAGGCACTGCTTGATATAAATCCCTTTTTCCTATTGTCTCTTTCTTCTTCACCAAAGGGAATTCAGATTTTATTAAGACTATTCAGGGAAGGTGATACCACCTGACATGTAGGGAAGATTGATAAATTACAACAAAGGCAGCAAGGACTCAGGTCTGTCTAACACAAACCACAGAAGCACCTTGAATAGTTCTTTGCTTGACCTGAACCAGATGTTTTATTAGAAGATCCAGTCTCAGGTTAAAAATCAGATTGGGAACCAGCAGCAACATGAGTTGACAAGGCTGTACCATACAGTCAGGGATCAAACAACCATTAGCAAAATGATCTGTGGTCTGTAGTTATGTGACTGTTTTCATTCTTTAAAATGTCTGTGTTCACTTACCTTGAAGTTCACTGGGTCCACCCTAAGGATGTAAGCATGCAGCTCACTGAGTTTGGCCAAAGCGCCTCTAATGTCATCAATGTTCTTCACAGCTTCCCCAATGGCATTCATGACCTTGGAACCATGGCCACGAAGCTGAGTTGAGCCTTGGCTGAGATCAAAATGAGGGAAGTAGGTTTTCGTCTGGGGATAGCTGGAGAAAAGCCTGGAGGAGAACATGATAATGAAGTTTGGCAGTGGAAAAGGCATGCATGATCTGACAAAACCTCTGGGCAAGTACACTGAAAAACCCACCAGCTTCAGAAGTACACTTCTTGAGCAGTTAACAGAGCTTGGAAACTTGAAGCTGGCATCAGAAGGTCTTTCTGCTCTTAAACCTCTTTTGTAGTATGTACAGATTAAACAATGGGCTAATCTATACATACTAGAGAAGAATGAAATGTTATTTTTTTAAAAACATAATGTATTTTTTTTAATAAATATTAGCCCCAAATTGTCACTACATTTCCTGTATTACACTGTAAGCTAGTTTCCAGGACTTCTGAAAAAAATCTGAAAAAAAATATTAACCTTTTTGTGACAGCTTGCTTAATTTGAATGACTGGTTTGCTGGGCTGTACTTCCTGCAGGGTCCAGTTTTGTTATTTCCTAACAGTTTTTTATGTATCAACTGGAGCCATGAAACATGAGTACCCAGTGAATCTCATGGACAGCTATTCCCTTTATGCCCATCATATGACAACTTACATGATAAATGACTGAAAGTTCATTTCCTAATAGTAATAACTCTGTTTTAGGTCATCAAGTATGAATGACTTCGAATTTCTCTTCAGGGTTCCTACCTATCAGTTCTTCTGAATTTCTATAATCAAAGTAAACCCATAAAATTGTTTAGGAAAGTATCTTTGCTGTAAGATTTTGAAGCCATCTATTAGAATTTAGTAACACAGACGTAATTCCAGGGGAAAAAAAAAAAAAAAAAAAAAAAGTCATATTAGACACCATGGAGATAATCAAGCAATTCTCATCAGTCTCAGTGTGACTGTATGAATCTTACCCATATGACATTTACACAAGAAGCATCCTAATAGCAAACTCAGAGGTGGCACCCTCTGGAGAGGGTGTTCGGGGTGACTTACCTCTCCAGTGATTCTGCCCCAATGGCATCAGCTTGGGTAGCCACCTTGGCCCAGATGGTGATCACGGCAGCCTTCTCAGCTTGAGTCAGCGTCATTGTGTGGGAGAGTGCGGGCTCAGGCTCCTTGCAGTGAACGCTCAGAGCAGGTTTGTACTAGTTGCCCTCACAGCCCTGGTTATAAAGAGGCAGAGGAGAGTGGACCTTGGGGTCTGTCCACGTTCATTGGTCACTCCAGAGGCCCACCCATAGAGGTGGGAGACTCTTATCTCCCCGTGAAACAAAGCCTTTTTCGGAAAGGGTCAGTGCACTGGCCTTCTGTTTTGCTGGTGTTATCAGCTTCTTGCTTCTTAACATAATGGCTATGTGGCCTGAAAAAAAATGTCTGGACACATATTGATACATGAACAGAGAGAGAGTGCTGGAAAATTCCAGTGATGGCAGATTAAGACACGTCTTTAAGCTGAGGAGCAGGTGGATTTCAAACATACTAAGAAGCTTGGAGAAAAATCTTTACGTTACCTTGCTTCACAGATGTCAACACCAGACCATGTCTTTCATGCATATCATACACTTCCAATTCAAGTGGCCATCACATGTCCTAATATTATGTTAAATACCTGGGTAGGGCTGGGAACAGGCTGGGAGATGCACAGCATAGTTCAGAGTGGGAGTGAGACCCTGCTTTTGTGGAAAACTGTGCAGATTTTGCCACCTGTTTGAGCACTTCCAGGCATTTGCCAGCCTATTGCAAAGAATTAGGGACCCACTCCACTATTGATATTGCTTATTACGGCAACAGTAGTAATGATTCATATGGATACAGGGAGAGAGCTTATGAATTTGAGACCTCATGAAATGGAGAATATTTATTCTAGAAAGAGGCACGTAGAAAGAGAAAACCCAGTTGGATGCACATGCTTTCTTACTGTCCGTGGATCTCAAAGTGCTGAGACCAGAGGGCTTCCTAAGACAGTTAACATAGATGTTTCCCAGCAGTTTATTTCCTTAACCTACAATTCCCTCCTATAGAGATCTGAGTTACATCACTAAGTGCCTCATACCGCATCTCTCTGATTTCTAGCTGTATGGTTCCTACCGTTAATTATCCCTGGTGCTGTAAAATAGCCCTCAGCACCTCAGACAGTGCTGGTATAAACTGTGCTACATGCTGGACATGCACAGGAAAGCCTGGTCCTATGCTAGAAAGCTTATAGCTACAGGGCTTGGACACACTTGATGGGTGAAGGACCAAATGAGTAAAGGAAAGACCAGCACAGGTCTGTAATCACAGATATGTGGGCAAAATGTCAAAGAAATACCCTTCTGGAGATGGTCGCTTCTGATCCTCAGAGAGTAGTATCCTGCCAGCACATGAAGCAGAGGTAAATCTCTCTGCCACCCTGATAAACCACAAGAGCAATACATACCACTGTGCATTGGCAGCAATGCACAGCAAGCTGGCTGGTACAGGCAGAGGCATCAGTGCTCTCTGCCCAAATAGCCTTGCACACTTGTGCTGAGGAGTTGATATGTCAAAACCAGATTCCTTGCCAAGACATTTCACAACGCTACCAACAGCTACAGACGATGCTCCCCAAACATGGTTGTCCTGCTAAGATGAAAGCCCTTCTAAGGATCTAATGATACTTGGGTCATGTATGCGTTGGAGTATGTCCAGCCAACAGTTATCTGAATGAAAGTAGCAGTGCCAGTGCAATCATACCACCCAGCTCCCCTAAATGTCACACAGGCGCATGCACCAAATGTGGAGCTTCTCCTGAGAGCTACGGTGTGGCTGTCCTGTGCTGCTGGGCACTGGAACCTGACTGCCAGCATGTGTTGGGTTTGGGGTGTGATGTTCTTATAGTTTTTTTTGTGTGTGTGTGTGTGCGGGGGGGGGGGGGGGGGGGGGGTTTGGCCTTCACATGAAGATAGGTCTCTTCTATAAAATGAAAATATTATATGCAGTTTATATAGTATAAACGGAGGGAGGTATCAAGGGAGGCTGTATTCATCACCTCTTACTATATGAATTAAAAAAGAAGAAGAAAAAAAAAACTTTGCAGATTTCCCACAGGAAAATTACTATGATAATAATGCTGCTGTTGTTTGTCTCCTCCCAAAAGTGTTGCCTCTTACATTGCCCACTGCATGGCAATGCTCCAAGTTCTGCTCTGTGAGAGTGCTTGCGAGAAGCCACTGTGACTCAGATATAGCCAGGCAGAGGCCAACAATACTCCTTCCTATTTTGTTGCCAACTGTTTAACCTGAATATCAGTCCTCCATGACTGGAGGATTAAGGCCTGTGTAGGTACAAGGATCAAAGCAATGCCTGCACTGGAGGCTTGTTGGTTTATATGTATAAATTTTCACAGAATTTGAATTCATTTTCCAAGAGTTGCTCTTGCATTATCATAAAAGCCAGAGCAGCCAACAGGTGACAGTGGTTTGCCAGAAGGACCTAACCACTTGCCTACAATCAGGGTTGTGCTGGGGACAGCTTCAGGAACTCTTTAGAAACATGTTTGGTGGGAGAAGTATGATTTACAGCCATATGTGGCAATGTGACAGGAAGAGCGATGGGCTCTGCCCTTGCATGGGCTTCTCAGCCAAGTTCTTCCATTCCACTGTTTCAGCTACCCACAGGACACAGAGGCGTGGAGGTCCTGGCCTACGCGATGCAATGAGCTGGACAACACAGCTGCTGTTATTCCTCCGGTCACAGGGTTCATAATGAAGCCATGTCCTCTGGCAATGTGCATCAGACATGCCGTCCTCTCTTTCTGCTGCTTCTCATAATTATGTTTCTTAAATCTGTAGCAGAATGTGCGCCCTGGTGCAGATGATGAATCTTTGTCATGAATCTGTGAAATGTCACCAAAGCCCTGGAAAAGAGCAGCGAGGCTGGGCTGGCACACACTGTCATCCTTCACAGCAGCTTGGCCTCAGGGCTGCCTGCCCTCCCACATCCTGCTCCCACAAGAACAAACAGAACAGGCAGCAAGCAGGAAAAGTGTTTTTTAATATTAACATAAGTCTTTTTTAATCCTTCTTGAAAAGCAGGCTGTCAGATTTTCTCATTATAAAAGCTGTAAGTCAGCAATAGACCTGTTTGCTCATTATAAATAAAGTGGGATTATAATTTCCATGAGCCCTGACTGTAAATCCAGTGACTAATTGAATTTGTGCACCTCTGTGAGATCATGGATAACTGTCCCCATGAGCCCATATTCTGCACAGGGCCTGCCTCCCTCTCAGGGGGAATTTCAGTGCATAACGAACGGTGGCACATATAGCTGCTCTGACAAATGTGGAGTGTATTAAGTTTTGGGAATCTTAAAAGTAGAATCTAAATCTTGCCTTTATTCTTTAATTTCCTTCTAGCACTCAAAGAGCATGCAATATTCTAAAGCTTTGCTTTAACTAAGCTCACCTACAAGAGCTGGAAATGACAAATATGTCTGTAATTTATAATATAAGAAAGTAAAATTATGCCTTGAAGCAGGGAAATTTTAACATAGCTGCCCAGCACTGGTGCATGAGGAATGCTCTGCTGTGATAATGTGACTGCTCTTTAATCACTCTTAAACAACTCTCTCGCCTCAATGACACCTTCTCTTGCTTCAGTTGTTATCACCTGCCTTGCAGAGAATGACAGTGCTGATTAAGCCCTTTGCTGCATGTGCTCATCTCCCTTTCACTCTTTCAACCACCCATCTTTCTGCCTGATGTCCCAGGGAAGAATCTTGCAGAGAAAACTCCAGAGTTTTCCTCAGATTATTCAAATATCTAAATATTGCAATCCAATACAGAAGAATTTACATGCAAAACCCAGGACATCCTCTGTCATAATTGTTGATAGTTTTCTGATCTGATTAGAACACAAAATAAGACAAATGCACCAAAACAGCTGCTGGGCAAATAACGTTACAATTAGTAAACTAGAGGCATTAAATCTATAAATTTACAGGAATGAGAAGACAAATTGCATCAGCAGTGCACACTGTGCTGCAAAGTGCCCTGAAATCATACAAAGAACATAGAAAATGTGTATTTCCATGAGCACAGAGGAGAGAGGACTGATTTCCAATGCGTGCCTCCTGTGGAGACCCTTCAGTGTGTGAGCTGTGAGCAGGGACAGGTTCTTCAGTTACAGGCACTTGCTGATGGCAGTACCACTGACCACCAGCTTTTAGTGAAGTTCTAGAGCTGTAATAACAGAATGACTAAAAATGACTGAAAGAGATCATGGGGCATGAAAGTAGTGAACGGGTCTGCAGGCATATGGGAAGAGGTGGGAATAAACCTTCCCACAGATAGCCAGATGCAGTGTAGGGTTTTGCAAATAATGGCAATCGCTGGGCCGAGACTCCCACAGCCGGTGCGAGGCTGTTAGGGCAGGTGCCCCAGCCAGGAGCTGGTGTCAGGGTGGGCTGGGTGCTGTCACTGCCCTGCGGCACCACAGCCACCGGCTGGGGCCCAAAGCGCTGGGGGAAGAGCGCTGAGCTGGAACAAAGCCGTGGTGCCAGGCTGAACTAGGGGCACCGTCCCTAGGGATGTGAGGGACTGAAACGGAATGGATACAGCCAGTGCTGGCTGAAGGATTGAAACGGAACGGGTACACCGGGTGCTGGCTGCACTGAGGGCACTGCCTCAAGCGTGAGGTGCTGGGCTGTGCTGGGGGCACGGCTGTGACCGCTGGCGGTGCCGGGCCGCGCCGTGCCGGGCTGCCGAGCTCAGCCGGCCCCGCACCGGGGCAGCTCCGCCCCAGTGAGGGCTCCAAGGGCCGGGGAAAGCAGCGGCGGCCTCGGAAGCGGAAACCAGCCGAGCCGTGCCGCCTTCCTGCGGGCCTGGCCGTGCCGAGCCGTGCCGGCATGGGCGAGAGCACCAGCCCCATCAGCGTCATCCTGGTGAGCTCGGGCAGCCGCGGCAACAAGCTGCTGTTCCGCTTCCCCTTCCAGCGCGGCGCCGAGCACCCCGCTGCCCAGGCCAGTAAGTGTGTGCAGCCGCTGGGGTCCGCCCCGAGCCGAGCCGAGCTGTCCGCCGGTGCTCCTGCACCTGAGCCCCTCGCCCAGCTCACAGCCCTCTGCGTGTCCTGGTGTGCCCCCCCCCTGCACGCCCCTGTGGTGTCACCGTGCCCTCATCCCCACAGTGGTTGGTGTGTGGCACCCCGGAGGCAGCCTCCCCCTTCTGAGGCTCATTTCGTGGTTGGTGTCCCCTTCACACACACACAGCTCCCCGTGCCTTGCCCTGCCTGGCACGGCGCGCACATCTTCGTGGCTCAGAGCAGGGCTACAAAGTTGGTGGAGGGCCTGGGACACAAGTCCTGTGAGGAGCCGCTGAGGGAGCTGGGGGTGTTTAGTCTGGAGATGAGGCACAGGGGACACCTTATTGCTCCCTGGAAAGAAGTTCTGTGATTCTATTCTGTTCTTTGTGGGGCAGCCATCTGTAGGCATACACCCCTTGGCACGGGGTGCTCACACCTCAGCGGCCGGGCTGTCCCCAGGCTGCTGCCACAGGGCACGGTGCCGAGCAGGGGCTGCCTGCAGGTGCCCAGGCTGACATCTCTGAGGAAGGTGAATTTGAACCATGGTAGGGACTGGCATTACTCGTGAGGCAGTGTTGTGTTGGTGTTTTGTTAGTGTTGGATCAGCTGGAGCACTGGGGGTTTTCGGAACTGTGGAGGATGGAGGAGACAGAGTAAGGAAGTGGAAGGGGGAAAGATACTGATCTAGGAGAAGGAATTCAGAAGAGACAAAGTGAGCTTTAACCAATAATGGGTAGAAACTAAGGAGCTTCAGAGAATCATAGAATCATTAAGGTTGGAAAAGGCCTCCAAGGTCATCTGGTCCAACTGTTCCCCTGCCACCACTGTCACCCACTAACCCACGTCCCCAAGCACCACATCCAGCCTTTCCTTGAACACCCCCAGGGACGGTGACACCACCACCTCCCTGGGCCACCCATCCCACTGTCTGACTGCTCTTCTGAGAAGAAATGTCTCCTCATTTCCAACCTGAACCTCCCCTGACACAACTTGAGGCCGTTTCCTCTTGTCCCTTCAGTCCATTGTGTTGAATAATCAGGTGGAGGAGGTTTCATTTATACAGGAAAACAGGACCTTTCGGGTCTCAGCCGGTTGCTGTGGAGGCAGTTTCACTTGTACCTCTTTCTCCATCGTTTCCAGCCCCAGCAGGTATCTGGGATGCACTCAGACCTGCCTTCAGCAGGAGTCAGCCTGGAGCCTGGAGTAGGATAACTGTGCGTGTGCCTCTAAATGAGAATCATTGTGGCCATTGGTACTTGCCAGCGGGAAGAGGTGGAGGCTCTGCAGGGTGACAGGCTCCCCAGGGCAGTGCTCATGGCACTGAGCCTGTTGGAGTTCGGGAAGCGTTTGGAAAATGCCCAGACACGTGGTTTGTTTTTTTGGTTGTCCTGTGAGAAGCCATGAGTTGGATTTGATCTTTGTGGGTCCCTTCCAACTTGGTATATTCTGTAAATTCTATAAATTCTGTGTAGTCTTCTCTTGTGTCTGCAATGGCTGACGTGAAGCCATGCTTGTGCTGGCCCTGTGCAGCCAGCATGGCTGGTTCTGGCCTGCACTTTGAGGTGCAGCTTTGAGAGGCCTTAGCATGGTTAGTGCCTCAAGATCACAGCGTCATTACTTGCAGATCTAAGCCATTTCCAGGCAATGTAATTGCAGGTAAGTTTGAAATGATTTTTGATTTCAGTGTGAGTTTGGTGCCTAAGAACATTTGATGATTTGGGCCTCATTAAGAACATACCAAACTGAACATGAGGGTCACCTGGTAGGTGAGTATTTTGGTACACAACCTGAAGTTGTTCTACATGAATCTTTGCCAGCTGCCATATATCTTGGGAGATTTGACACCCCTTTTTAGGTTGTGAGTAATTTTTTACTAGGCAAAAGTAATTTTTGAATCCCTCTCTGTTTTTTATAAGAAAAATCAGAATATATGTATATACATATGTATATATATATTTGCTGTCAGTTTCCCTCCTGTTTCTCTCCTGCTTTTTGTTTGCAAATGCTTTTGATATCTGTCATTGCAGAGGGGGCTTCTGGAGCATTATCATTCTGCTGAAACCTGAGTAATAATAAGGGAAATTAATTGGCCAGATTTTTATTTTTCACTCTCTTGAATTGCAAACTGTTACCTGGTACTTAAGAGAAAAGTTATTTCTCTGTATGTTTTGCTTTCTTCTCTGTATTCCCTGAAAATTTAAGCTTCTCCTATTTTTTAATGTGTTTATGAGTAAAAATAGAAAAATAATAATAATAAAAAAAACCCTAACATACCAAGATCTGGTATTTCCACTTAAAAAGGAAAGGATTCTTACTTTTAATGTTACTTTTTTGGAGCTTGATTATAGATGATTTTTAAAAGGGCACGGACAAGTATTCTTTAATGCACACTTTAAGGAGGTTGTTCCTTGAAAAAAATGTCTTTATTCTTTGCTTTAGATAAACCAAGGAGTCGATATGCTGTGAATAGCTCTGGTGACACCTCAGAGGATCAAGATGGGGACTCCAGGTAGGGAGAAAACATTTCAATTTGTCTGAGCTTGAAACAGGAGGAGATGGCCTCTCTTTCTCTTGCCTGCTAGTTCAGCAGGCAAATTCTCTTACAGTGTATAGAAGACCTGCAAAGAGATGCTTCAATGCCAGGTTATGAGCAAATCAGTGCTTGGTAATGAGGAATGTCTCACGAGTGAATGCTAGTGAGTCTGTTGTTTTCTGGGCAGGGTATTGGTGAGATGTTTTGTGCTTGTTAGAAAGGCAGTGTTACTCTTTCAAAGCTAGGAGTATTAATCCTTTGGCAAAATTCCACTTTACCTGCATATGTCTAACTGGATATATTATATAGTTGCCTCAGATTCTTCCTTAGCTCATATAATTGTCATACAGAATTGCTCTACACTAATGAGTAACTAATATTGTTTCTCCAGACATAGCTGCTTGTGTATCCATGGAGTGAAATAGTAGCTCAAAAGGATACTGAGACTTAGAGATAGTTTTTCAATTAAAGGAAATCAGTGGGTCATTGCACTGAAAAAACGCACTGAAAATAATGTATGTTGTTCAGCATGCATATACGTAGAAATGGACCCTCTAATTAGTTTTTGGAGAAAATCTGTAATTAGCCGCATTGTTCTAAATTTATCTCTATCAGGTATGAGACAAATTTGGGCCATCGTTCAGTTCCAGATCTTTTTTGAGATGTGTCTTTTAATTTCAGATATTAACAATGGTATAGTTGGTGCTGTTCTCTAATACAAGAATGAAAAAAAAGTTGTCATCACTTGTCCTCAAAAAAAGAAATGAATATCCCAAACTTGCAAAGTTTAATCTTGTTCTTACATTTGACTCAGAATAGTTTCACTGAAATTAAAACCACCCATGACAGGAAACTTCATCAAGTTTGTATGTTTTTCCAGGACTGGGACCTTATGAAAACAGATGTAACACATCTTGTTTAGGGTCATTTGTATGTATTGCATCTTTTCGAAACCTTTAAATAGTTCTACCATGTCTCCATGGGACGCAGTGTGCTATGAGCCACAACTCCAGTGGGACCACACCATGTCTTTAAGTCTGATATTTGTTGAATGACATTTCAGACTGTCCTGTGGACAGCATGTCCTAACATGCATGTTAGGAGGGCTCTGTGCATGTTTGTTGGTTATCTCAGGGATTTTGTTGGTAGCTGTTCAAAAACCCTGTCTCCAGTATTTCCCTAGATAGATTTAAGGCAATATTGGAAGTGAGCCAGCTTCTTTTTGATACCTCTTCTTGTTGCCTCTTCCACTTTGGCAGGTTGGATAAAACACATAATGCAGAGCTGTGCTCGCTGGATGTTGTCTGTGGTGCTGAATTAGAGTGATGCAATATTGGCTACTACTGTGGTAGAAGAAGAGCTTTTATCACTTCAAATTACAGTCAGATGAGAAAAGTGCTCTTAATTTAGTATTCTGAAACTGTTTATAAGTGGATTGAATGTGCTGGCATGTAACCTAAATTAAACAAAGAGTTAAATGATTTTATTATAGTGGAGTCCAGAAATTAGTGGTTGAAGGCTAATGCTCAAGTCTGTTGGGTCAAGTATTTGTTATTAAGCTTTTAGTGTTTAAAAGAATTTAGGGAACTGACTTCCCTAAGCTCAAAGTATCAGCCTATTGGCAGTCCATCAAGTGGGTCTGGACAGTTCTGAAGTGCTGAGTGAGAGAATATTAAGACAGAAATCCCACTCTGTAGTGATGGTCTTCAGAGAAAAATTGCTATTTGTACAGCCTTACATAGCAGTACATAGAAATCCATGCTGTACTGTCTGTAGCTGATGGTTGTCAAGTTTACTGGAGTTCATAGCCTTATAGTTACATCCATGTAGTTGAGGTGCCAGCCAACACAGGTCTATTAGCAGGAGGGCCCTTATTACTATCCCCTATGGATCTGCCAATCGCTGCTATTCAGGTAAAAGGGGAGTGGGGGAAGTGGAGCACCCGTATTGCTCTGCCAGATCTTGAGGCCCAGCACACTGCTTGTGCTGCTTCCACAGGTATACATCGACATTCAGAAATGCAGTGTTTTTCAAAATTGGGTTTCTTTCAGTTTTGTTTACGGAAAAGCCTTTCCTGAATACCAGTGTAATTAGTGTTGTAAATCCATTGAAAAAGCTGCCTTTCACACTAAGACAGAAGAGAAGCTTTCAGATTCATTTAATGCAGCCATACAACTGATGCAGCAGCTAAATATCCTTCTCTTCAGTGATAGCAACTAGTAAAAGAAATCACTAAAGCTCTCATATGTAGGTAGAAACCATATGCAAGTCTTGGGTACACAAGCCCATCTTCCAGCACAAAGCAAAAAGCGATTTTCAAAGCTGTGTACAACAGGTGGCTCAGAGTTTTGATCTTTATCCGTATTAGGAGTAACAAGAGTTGGTGCCTGTGGAGCATAAGAGATTCTCAGGGGAGAGTGGTGGCTGAGAAGTGCAAAAGGTCTTGGACAGAGCGAGGTGCGTATGATTTATGACCTGTGTAGACTAGGGAAGGAAAGAGCTTAAATATCGTTTACTGTAAAACCAGTATTGTTGCTGAGCCCGTGGGATTATTCCTCAGCAGTGTTCTGATTCTTGCTCCTGAGCTCCAGTTTGGAATGCTTTTTATGTTTCTACTGAGGGCTGGAGAGACCAGGAGTGGAGTGACTGGATTTGTGAGAGCCATCCCTGTTTCTCGAGTGGCAGCTTTGTCCCTGTAGGTTTGTTCTTGGGTGGTGCAGTGGTGTAGCAATTCTCTTCCCGCAATGCTCGGTTTAGTAGTCCACGGAGTGAGAGGGTTTGTCAGCATGAAGTCCTGTCCGTGTTTTGGTGGTGTTTTCTTATTGGAGTTGTCCCAGATGAAAGTAATTTATGAAGTGGCTTTGTGTTATTTTTGGAAGGCTTCCTCAAGGAAGTGTTGGCAAAAAGATTCCTTTAAATCACCACATATCAGTAATCTCTCCAGATGTTTTTGGCAGCACAAACTGGGGCTTTGGAGAGGGCAGCCTGCTAGGTTGAGTGGTTTGATAACATTTTATGTTCGTTAACAAAGGTTATTTCAGATCTCTCTTGCTGCTACAATAGTTCTCATGAGGGTTGGATGCATCTTCTTTTATAGTGGATGACTGTCCATGATAGTAATTACTGATAATCTAGGATGAAATGTATCCTAGATAAGGTTCAGTATTGCTTTTTTGCTAAGCTGTTGGAACCCAGATCGATTACTTTTGAGCGTACCTCTCATGGAGCAGTTAAGGTATATGTATTTCTTTATGGCTTCAGAAAATTAGATCAGTTCAGGTGCCTTAACTCTCCATTTCCATATTTGTATGCATGATTTGTTTTCTTGTGACCTTCAGACATGAGTTTCCTGGTCTTCATTATACTTTGTTTTTTTAAAGAAAAGTGCAGCCTATTCATGACAGTCCTGCCTCCGGGTTACTGGTGTGTATCAGCTGTGTTGATTTCTCTTCAGTGGAGCTGTGTATTTGGGTCTTTAGAATACAGATCTTTTCTTATCCTAAAGGCAAGTCAAGCATCAAAAGTGTTCAAGGTGTGTTGATGATGGCCAGGCAACAGAGAGGTATTGTTAAGATTCTGTCACTGTCAAAGCAAATCACCTGTCAAGTGTCTCTCTTTACTGGCTTCTTCTCAGTCTTACATCATCTGCTCTCATAAAAAACATGCTTCATTTTTTGAGTGCTATATCAATAATATATACCCTTCACAACTTATGGAGATGCCCACCATCCTGGAAAAAGGTAAGGCAGTAAAGACATGTAGCAACTCTTGAAGTCTGAAGATGATGCTTTGTTAAATTTCTTTGAAGTGCATTTTGTAGTTTTCTTTGGAGGGGAGATACTCAGCAAAAATTCTAATGAAGATGCACACAGAGGAACATATGTTACACCAGACTTTATATTTTTTAGTAGTGTAACCAACTAACTGAGGGAGATGTAGTAAGCTTGACAGCATTGATGTCATTAATTGGCTACATGCTTTTTGCTAAAAAACAAAACAAAAAACCAACCATCAAGTTACTGAAAAACAAGGACTCAAATGCCCCTTTCTATCAAACAGTAGTTCTCCTGTGGTAATGTTTCTGTCTCCTCTGTCCCTCTTTCACTGGACCTCAGTATTCTCCCTTGTTATTTGTTCTGAAAGGCTTCCTTTCTGTAAGCCTGTGCTTTTCTGTTCACCCATCCATCCGTTTAAACATCCTTTCTGTAATATCACCCCTGTTGTATATTGTTTGTCCTTTGGGATTGTTCTACCTTTTCAACATGACTTGTGGAAATCTGCCGTCTTTGGGATTAAATAATTGTTGGAGGTTTTCATTTTGTCTCATTTCTACAGTGGACAGTATGAAGCTTTTATCAGATTAATTTTTCATTACAGATTCATTTTTCCAAAGTCCTTTCTCCCTTGTTATTTGGAAAAAACAAAAACAAAACAAAACCCAACCACCAAGCAGTTGATAGAATTAAAATAGGTATTTATTTCCCTGATACAAAAGTGAGTGCAGCTGCTAATAGAGCCTTGCTCTGCACACCGTTCAGGTTCTTTGCCTTGAAAACTTTTTCTGCCTACTCTTCCTAAGTTACCTTCATGCTTGTGCTGTGATTCTGGACAGACCTATTGTTTAGATCCCTGTGGGAGAGCAGCAGCAGCTGTTTGTGCAAAGCCCTTTAAAAATAATGCTGGCTGTGTGTGGAACAGTGTTTGCCATCCTCTTTTTCTAAGTCTTGTGGGTATGGAAGCACTAGCACCAGTGGTGAAGAGCTCTGAGTCAGCTGGGGCTGCGTGGGATGTTCCTTTGGCGAAACCTCTACTGACAGTCTAGAAAACAAAGTGACGTTTATAATCTGCTCTAAATCAGACTACAACATCTTCTGTGTTTTTGTTTGTTTGTTTTTGTTGGTTTGTTTCTTGTAAGGTAAGCGTCAATTTAAAAATGCAGTGTAAATGCAATTCCATAAATGCAGCACATTGTGGGAGGACGTTACAACAGACAGTGTTAGTGAGAGGACTAAAATGCCTTCAATTTCAGTCTGCAGTATGTCCCAGGAATTCACCTACCATTAATTTTGAGTCTTCTCAATACTTGTCATTCCTGTACAGAAGTTTAACTCTTAATAGATCATCGTAGTATTTAATGTTATCTTTTCTCTTTTTTTTTTTTTTTTTTGGTGTGTACTTGCCTCGTTTATTTTCTTTTGTTATGTTTTTGTCTTGTGTTTATGGCCATGTTCCCATTTCAGAGACCAATGTCCTCTAACTGATGAGCAATTGGTTTCAGGGTAAGACCAAATGTTCTTAATAATCACCTCTGTCTAGAATGGCTTTCTTTTCTCACTATCCTTTTAATTGTGCTTTGTTCCTGGTTTCTACTTCACACCGAATGATGACATAATTATACGCTAAATCACAATGTCTGTAGGAAATGTATCGCTAAGGTTTTATGCTAGGATAATTACAAAGGTCCTACTAACATCGCTGTGCTTTCTGTAGGGTACCCAGAATGGGTGTCATACTGTCCCTCTGTGAATTGAGGAAAGTTGTGACCCTCCAAGAATAAAACAAAGTATAGCCTTAACATTGTAGTTATTCTGACAAGGAGCCCTAAAACAAATTGCTTTCTGACAAGCAATGAGTTAAAAGTACCGACCAGTAAGTAAGCTTTTCAATCTCACAGTAATTACAGAGAGCTCTTTAGAGACCAGGTTTTGAGCGGATGCTCCGGTTGCTTGCTCTTGTTGCCCCACAAAGCTAAGCTGGGTGACTGCATTATACCCCTTCTTGAATGTGTGGAGGGAAAAGTGCTTATCTCTGCCAGGAGCCCCAGAAGTATTAAGCCTCACCTCTAGTACCCATATAACAAAGATGATCACCCAGATAGTCATCTCCCTTTCTAAACCACTTCAAAGACAAATTCCTTAGAAATAACTTACTTTGACTTCCTGTGAACCTTAAAGTTATTTTCCATCCTTGGGAAAAAAATATGTTTTTGTTTGATATTCTTGATATCCCTCCTCTTCTGTATGCTAAAGCAAAAGCAATTGTATTTTCAGCTATGTCAGTTCCAGAGGAGGTGCTGGTGACAGCAGTCAGTCTGCACTAGTGTGTTTTGTATCATACTGCTGGATTGTCTGCTGCTGCCACAATGTCAAGCTCACCATAGGATATTTTGGGCAAATCAAAGCTTTTGTTTTTTTTTTGTATTTAGTTTCCAGCTGCTGAATTCTTTAGTAAAGGGAAAGTTTGCTTCCCTCTGTAAATCACAGAGCTCGGACTAATCCCATGAAATAAAAAGGAACTGTTACTGCCCAATTGTGAAACCTAATCTGCTTCTAACAAACTCTTGGGCTCTGATAAGTCAGTGTTTTTAAGTCATCTTAGTATGCTACAGAGATTAGAAAACCAGTTTTAAAATATCTAAACTAAAATGTTGCTGTTTAAGATGAAATGATGAACTGAAATGAAGGGAATGACATATCAGTTGTCCCTCAGTTTCCCTCTTGTCCAGAGGCCTAAGAAATGTATAAAAGATGTGGAATGTTTTCGGGGGGATTTGGAACAAACAACCAAACCAATGCTTCTAGGCTGTCAGACCAGGAGATGAGTCTGGAGTCCAGGTCTCTCTGGAGAGCCTGTGGTGATACCAGGTGCCTGTACCCGTCAGGTAGACCCCCTGCAACACACCAGAGGGTTATATATCCTGAGCATGTCAGCTGGCTGCAGTTGCAGTGCTCTCTCAGAAAGAGAGGTCTCGGCTAGCAAGAAGGTGGGGAGATGTTACAAAATTAACCTTTTAATCTTCTGCTCCCCACAGAGCCAAATACGAGGTAATGCAGAGGTGGGTGTCAGTGTTGTGAGCTATCCTGGGGCACTGCTGAACTGTTACATTCAGCACCACAGCTGTGTGTGAAAAGATCTTGTGGTGGAATTCCGTGTAAAAGTGAAATCTTAACAGAGGTGTAAGTCGTCATTAATGAAGTTTGGTTTTCCAGCTCTCAAGGCATCCTTTGCCAAGGCTGGGGGAGGGAAGAACTCATTTTTTACAAGCAAGCAGGCACTTCCTAGTTTACCCTGTTTCTACCTCTGCTTACCAGAGCATGTGCTCATTTTTGATTCATTGTTCTTAGAGTTTTCCTGGCTCTGTGACCAGGCTAGTATCTAACACAGCTGGGCATGGCAGAAACAGGAGGGAAAGCTCACTGCTATCGCGGTGACTTTTTCCTATTTTGGATGTGATCTCCAGGAGCTGTCACGTGAAGTCCAGCTGGAGGAAGCTTTACCTTTTCCTTATGAAATCCATGTGTTGTGCAGCCCAGTCCAGCACAGTGGCTGGGGAGCACGGGTTCAGTGGCCCCAGGAGTCTCTGGCTAGTCTGCCCTATCTCTCTGCTAGCCCTCAGCTGTGTTCAGCATCCTGTGTGAGCAGAGCAGCCAGGGATTTGGAAGTTTGTACAGAGCTGCTCCTTCCATCAGCCAAACATAAGCAGGATGGTGAGGATGACCTTTTTGTACAAGCATCAGAGGCTTTGGCAGTTTGGAAAGCCCCTGTATCATCCTGCATCTTCAGTATACATAGGTCTAATAACAGAAATAGCCCCTGGGTCATATGCAGATAGATATAGATGAAAAACCTGGCTGTGTGTTTGTCTTAGTTTCTGTGGTACTCCATAACTCACTCAGAGCGAACCAGGAGCGTGGTACATTAAGTCCTTCCCTGGGCACTGAGGGCTCGCTTGTGGCCAAGAGATAAGGTGAGTGCAGAACACACCCATGTCTGCCCTTTTCTCTGAGTGATACTGTGTTATCCGGGAAACCTGCGTGGTGGAGGGGGATGGTCTGACAGGGACACACATCCATGAATGCAAATAAAGAAATTGGATTAAACATTGCCATTATTTAAAAAACAGTCTCATCGAAAGCTGGCTTGAAATCCATTTGGTTAAATGAGGGTCTTAGAGAAATCAGATCAGGAAAGAACAATGCTAATATCAAACCTTGTACTACTGCTGTCATGAAACAACAAGAAGTTCCCTCCAGCAGCTAACTGAGGTCCCCTTTGCTATGGATTTGAGCTTCACTGTCTCAGGGGACACCCTGAGGAACATGAGTATTTTTAAAGAGAAGGCCAATGTTGTAAGGTCATCAGAAGTGGTTGCAGAATTCTTCCCTTGTCACACTGGAATTCTTACCCAATTTGGAGCTGTGGCTGTATTTTACTTGGCAGACTCCTTGTAGGTACTTGCTGTCCTGTCTCGTGCTTGCAGTCTTCCCACCACAAATCCAGAGCAGTCCCCAGTACCAATAAAATGTGGTCAGCACTGAGGAGAGCCCATTGTCATGAATTTCTCTTGGTTTAGTTTATCAGATGAGACCAGGTGATGCCAAGCAATTTTCAGCAGGGTGCTGCTGGTCCTTTGACCACAGGTTGAGAGCTGTTAAGTGAGTAACTTTGAGTCTCACTGACTAGATTTGGAAAAGGAGGGACAAATGTAGAATATATTTTTCTTTTAATTGACTCAAGCTCTGTCTTGCCTTCCCCTTTGCCGCAATGGGTGGCTTAAAGATCTTTGTTGTGCTTGAGTGACAGGCTGTCTTGATATGTAGTTGCTTAGTAAGTTCATTAATCTGCAGCTAAATCCAGGCAATGGCTAACTCAGGCTGTTTTTGTATTTAAACAAACTGCATCTAATATTACCAATTTATTTTGCTGTGCATGTACTGAAATAAGCATGACACCACAGTCTTTGTCTTGAACGCTTCCTGTTTTATAATTGTGATGATCTGACAGATGTAATTAAGGGATTCTTAATTTTCTATAATTGGGGGTATTCCAGGTACAGCAATTTATACACAATTTACAACTTAAAAAAATTTTCACAAGTTAAATACATCTGTATTTGGAGGAACATTCTGGGGGTATGCTTTTTGAAAATTGTAATAACTTTTGTTTCTGCTCTTCAAGGTTTTCAGATGTCATCCTGGCAACGATTTTGGCTACAAAGTCAGATATGTGTGGCAAAAAATTTGAACTGAAGATTGATAATGTTCGCTTTGTTGGCCACCCTACATTGCTTCAGCATGCCCTTGGGCAGGTATGGTAAGAGGTCTGCTTGGGGGGCATGCTTTCTTTTCAAACTCCATGGCTTAGTTAGGAAACTTAGAATTTAGAATGGATAGGTTTGCTTTTGATCCTATTTCTTCCTGATTTCTGATTCTTGTGGATGCTCAAAGCTGCCTTTCTGTATTTCCAGATAACTACAGTGAGTAGCAAACTAAGGGATCTCTGTCAGTGACTCACAGAAACCCCAGTCTGGTCACATTAGAAAAGGAGCTTGGGTAAAGAGAAGTTTGCTAAGTGGTCCAGCTCAAAAGCTGTTTCTCACCATGTTAGTTGTTGCAACTTAGCTTTTCATCACCTCCAATTAGTATGGCAGTAAAAAACAAAACAAAAACCAAACAACCAAAAAAAACCAAACAAACCCAAACCCTAACAAATGTTAAAAAGAGGTCTAAAATTTTCTTATGGAGAAAGTTGGACTGCTGTTTGTATTCAGACCTTGGTTTATGGTCTGTGTTTTAGCTGATTGGAGTAAAAGCAGTTGTCACCCAGGTATGGAAAAGGCCCTGCTTAAATCTAAGAAAGAATTTGCATGGTTCTGCATGCAAAATATTCCCTTTCCCATTCCTTTTCCTGACAGACTGTAAAAATGAACCAGGCTTTGGTAATTTCTAAATCCAACACTAATCTGTATCACTGAACTGCTTTCATCTCCTTTTTTGTCAAATTTGCTAAGTCGTTCATTTTTCCAGGCAAAAATCTGCTTGCCAATTCTGTCATCCTTTCTATCTATAATTAGAGGTGCAAACAGATTGTTGGCAACTGCTGCTTGGTATTTAGAAGACCAGACTGCTTTAGGACTGCTTTTATCCAAGTAAGAAGCTGGCTTCAAGCATCAGAAGGTGCCAGTGTTCCACTTCTGAAACTCACATAAGAGTACAAGAAATGTGACTGAGCATCACCAAGACTCAGTTCTCAAATGTTTGAGCTGTTTTGGAAAACAGAATACAAGTTCCCCCAGGCTGTGCAAGTACTTCAGCAAATGCAGCCTGCTGTGTTCAGAACAGCTGTTGCCCACTACCCTAGGACACTAAAAGTTCCTGGTGCTGGTGGGAGTGAGGTCAGGCGCCAGGAAGCTTAAGCAGTGTTTTGCAAGGTGGTTCTTGTTTTGCCGTTCATGTTTCTAGCTCTGACACTTAGAGCAAATAGAACGGTGGCCACGAGACAAGAAGGTGTTGCCTTGTTTTGTTTTTATAGAGACTGTTACAGCCCACCTCAGTAATGTGTGGCAGTTGACTCTGAAATGATGGAGGAAAGGGCTAAGGAAGGGAGAGAATGAGGGGATGCTCCGGACCAGCTGCTCCTGACAAATGGGCAAGCTGGGGTGCTGCTAGCAGGGTCTGTCACCAGTCTCACAGAAGACAAGCAATGAACTGGGCCCAGGGTCTACCCGGGGAGCTCAGCCAGGAGCAAAAGGTGATGGAGCCACAGGTAGGGCTAGAGGACAAGGCTGCTGTGTACATAGTGCAGTCCATCCAGGAGACACACTACCTACAGCGTAAGTCTGAGGCCAATCCAGGAGACAGGGCTGGAGACCCCCAGAGTCAGGGACCAAAGGCCCCATACTGAGCTTAAATGGGGCTCCTGGGTCATGCACGGGCAGGTGTGGGGACCAAGTGGTGCCAGCCAAGGCCATTAAGAGTGTTTGGTGCCCTTAGGGCCCTGACAACAGAGGTCTGTTCTCCCACAGTACCAGCTTCATTTATTTTGCCAATCTTGTCCAAAAGGCATAACTTCATAATTGTGGTGTAGTGAGTCTAAACTAAGTTGCAAAATTGTATTTGCATTTGTTTACCACACATTATACATTTTCTCTGCTTGTAGTCACTTTTATCCTAATTGCATGAAAAACCTCTTCATTTTCAATTTGTCTAAATAAAATTACATCTGTGTAAATAAACAACATTATAGAGTGCTGTAAATGCCTTTTTGTTACTTCTAGTAGAATCTTTTTCTTGGCTGTGTCTTATCACCCCAGGAGGCACCCAGAACTTTCTAGTTTTCAGAATCTTCTGGATGTGGCAGCCCTTTCTACTAGTTCGTTTGGGTCTAAATCTGGGACCCTTAGGCAGTTAGTAAGAAGCTAGATTATTTCATGCCTGTCCCATGGAGCAGAAGCAATGACTGAAGTAACCTGACAGTCTCTGGTTTGGATTTCTTTGGAGTTCATGCTGCAATAAGTTACTTCACAGGACAACTCAGCAAATTCTTCTTCAAATGAGATTGAAGAATTACAAGAGCACCAACATTTAATCGTGTGCCAGACTGTCTTTTATGTAATGATATTCCGAATTCTTAAATTCTTTCATCATTTTCTTTTCCGGCTTAGGTCTTTTTTTCCACTCAAGAGGGGATATGAAAACTAGCTGTATTCCAGCTGATGTTAGTGGTTGATTTTAAGGGAAGAATAGGATCAGTCCCTGCACTTAATGCTTTTAAGTCTTTATTGAAGTTCACAGGACATCTTGGAACCTATATCTCCAAAAGAACAAATAAGCACAGTAAATTGTTTTTGCCATACCCCTTGTCACTGCCTTTTTGATAGAACTTCACTTAACAATTTAGAAAAATAAAGGTATGTGTTACTACTTCTAGTTTTTCTGATTTTTAAGTGAAAGCATTCAGGAGTTCAGCAGTGAGCAGTTTGTTGCTGATGCTTAGTACTTGTCAGAAAGGCTGGAAGCAGCTTTGCTGTTGCTAGCTTCTTTGTGTTTGCCCTGCCTCTGATACTGCATTAACTTTATGCCCCTTCATTGTGTAGAGGCAGAATATTAGGCTAGATGATTGTTCAGGTGGTTTATCCTTCAGGTTGGACTGAGTGTTCAGCAGGGAGCTTCGGGGAAGGCAGGGGTGTCCTCTGGATTGTGTGCTCCATCTTGTGGTGATGCATAGTTGATTCAGAGATGTTAGTACTGGATTTGCAAATACAACTTGCTTGTCTTCGCTTCCTCTGTGCCTCCCCACAAGAAAGCCTGTACATGTGCTAAAGATTATGACACTAGGAAGCCTTCTGTTGCAGAAGGAACATTTTTTGGGGGGAGGGGGGGAAGGGAAGGCGTGCGTGATGGAGAATGCATTTGAAGTCCTGCAGGAATGTAAACCAAACCTTTTATCTTAGTATTGTGCAAGTGCGTGAGATTGAATATGGGCACTTCTCAAGCACAGTTTTTCTGATAAAAACAACAGCTTGCAACATGATGCAGTCCAAATGGGGATTTTAGGAAAAAGGAGAATATGTGTGGCATGGGGTGAGAAATCTGTAGTGTTTTCTATGGTTAACAATACATAACAATTGTGCTAAGAAAAAATTATATCTAGGGCCCCTAATGGTGCTAGAATGCATTAGTAAAGACATCTACTAATGCCGCTGTCTTAACCAATACACATTTCTATGATCCTTACCAAAATGTTTTGGTTTATGTTTTACCAGCTTCTCAGAAAGTGTAAAATAACTGTAATACTTTAATTAGAAAATAATCATACAATTTTATTTTTTACAAGTCAAATTTTGATGGTAGAATTTGATTTGTCTGCTCTCATCTCTCAGCAAACTGTTATTTGACTGAGTTTTCTTTTTTTTTTTCCTCCCTTGATTACTTGTTCCAGAGGACAGTAGCATATGGGATTTCTTTTAAATATTTTTTAGGTATCCAAAACTGATCCCTCGCCAAAGAGAGAGATGCCCACTATGATTCTCTTCAATGTGGTGTTTGCCCTAAGGGTAAGTAAGGACTGCCTTCTAGTCATCTGGTAATGGAATGTCCTTCAGATGTGTAACAGAATGCAGTAGGTTCATCTTGCCATAATCTCTTGTAAAACATTCAGTGCCCAATTTCACTGGGAGATTTTCATTTGAAACAACAAAACAAAGTAGAACATGACACTGAGAAGTTAGTAAGATTTCCAGCCCAGCATTACTGTAGCCTCAAGCACAGTTGTTCTGTTCAGGATACATCTTAGAGCTTTTTTGTTCTGTTTTTTAAAAACCCAGACTATAAAGGCACGCAAGAAATCTCTTTGAAAAATAGATATGAACCCTGTTACAAATCTTGCATGCGTCTTGTCTGTTGTTAATGACGAGCTGCTGACCTGCTGTGATGTTTCTAATCATGCAATTGAAGCTTGTCCAAGTTAGCTATGTGGAAAAGCAGCCTGTGTCTTACTGTCCTGTATGCCAGATGCCATCCTCTGCTCTACTTCTGCCTGGGGTAGGTCCAAATCCATACAGCACATTGCTGAGCCCTTGTAGCTCCATGCAACTCTGTTCTGCGCCAGAGGCAGAGGCAGCAGCAAGCATGGACAGTGACGTGTTTGGACAGACTTACAAGTTAGGGCCCTGCCATGACTTTGGTTAACCCAAGCTCGTTCAGTGCAAAGCCATGAAGAAATCTGCTCTGTGCTCTCTAGAGCCATTACATTTTCCAGTAAGGTTTGCAAGCTTGGATCCAGACCTGGATGGGTGCCGGGTCTGTGTGTTAGCACAGTGCTGTAGTTCTTGGAAGACATATCAGAACCAAAGGATAGAGTTTAGGCTCATGTTTAGAAAGGAATGGCATTTGTGTGATTTTTCCTCTCATCTCATAGCATTTTTCTGAGTGGGAACCATGTTCCTGGTATCATGGGCTTGCAGTTTCATCCAAGATTGGTCTGTGGATGAAGGTGCTCTCAATTTAATGTCTGAAGAGTTTTTTTGGCTGTCCTTCTGTATTTGGACAAAACCTATCATTTTTTCACTTTTTTTTTTTTTTTTTTGAACCCTGATGCTCTTTTTGAAATGATACTTCAGAACAGCACTATTTAGAGCCCTTAATCATGCTTCGTGATACAGAGCCATGTGCCTCTGCTCATTACCTGCAGGCCTCTTTACAATTAGTTGGATAGTGTTTGAAAGCTGCCTCTTTTTAGCCATGAGGCTGTTGTAAAAGAAGGAGCATGCCAGGGAGCAACTGGCTGTATGTAGCATTCTGAATGAGAAGCAGGAACACGTGAGGAATAAATACACTTTGATGTTAAACAAAAATCTGGAGCAAATATGTATGTTTTCCTTGGAGTTTCTTTTTAAGTCTACTCTGTTGATGAGATGTTGGTATCAGTGTTAATGGATCCTGGTTTCGCTAATTTCATAGTATAAAACCCTAGAAATTTCATTATGTTCAAGCATTATTTGATTTCTGAGCTCTGGCTTTCTCTTCACAGCCCACAGGTTACATCTGTGGAGCTATCATATTATTTTTGTGGCACATATGCATGTGAAGCAACATGCTGAAAATGAAGGATGGCATTGGAATAGCTGTCCTGCTGGAGATGGCTGATTTTTGCTTGACTAGGACTTTGGATAACATGTCATGATTTTAAAGCCTCCAGTTCCTTGACTGTGAAGTGACTTTTTTTTTCCCTTTTAGCACCGGTACTTTATACATGGCCATAGTCCAAGTGGCTTTTCTTCAGTGGAAATGCAAGGTTTCACAAGAGACAATTATCCCAATCTGAATCAAGCAAGATATCGTTCATTGAGTTCTGCTGGGAAGCCAGTGTTGCTGTGCTTTGGGACATTCTTAGGTTAGGAAGTGCCAAATTTGCAATACAGAAGTTGATTTTAAATTTCACGCATTAAGAGCTGTTAGCTTCAAAAGTTTTGATCTTTTAGTAACACATACATTCCTCTTGTCTGCATTTCTTTAGAATCTGTTTTCTAGTGGTTCTCCTAGGAAAACTCACTTTTTTGCATTTTGGCACTGTGAGGATACTGATGTACTATGTGCTTAATATAGCATTTAATTGTATTTGCCAAATGAGACACTCTTACTTCATAGAGAGCTGTCAAGTTTTTGGAAAGTGCTATGTGTAAAGCAAGTGAATTTTTTTTTTCCTAGCAGAGTCTAGTGCACTGCAAAGTGTGGGTGGAGGTATTCTGTGATAAAGATGAGCCCATCTGCAGCGGGCAGACAGAGCAGGCAAAGTCCCAAACACTGTAATCAGCACTGATCCTGCTGTGTTTAAGCTCAGGGTTACCAACGTGTCGTGACTCAGCAAGAAGAGTGGAATTTGAAAATGTTGACTCATGGTTTGCTAGTTTACATGCCAAGTTATCACTTGCTAGAACTGTAAATTCCTTTAAAAGTCTTAACAAACATGAAGCAGATGCTTACTGTGCACTTTCTGACTAGAGCTGCTGAGTCCCCCCTTATCAGCTGTACTTACGTGATAGATTTTTCTAGCACTTTCGTTCCAGGACTTGCACAAATGCAAGTGTTTGTAATAAGCCATATTTGTGAAATGCTTTGGAATGTATGTCCAGATTCATTTTGCTTTTGTATCAACGTGTTGATCATTTGTTGGTACTACTTACATACTGACAAGACAAATGCTAGTTGTATAGGACAAACTTCAGTACAACCAACATGGTGAGAGTGGGCTATGTTAAAGGACACTGCAGTCCTTATACTCCCAGTGAATTTAACCTGAACATTGTGATGCACTTCCTTTTCAAATAACTTGACATCTTCTTTTCTGGCTATGTGAAGTTGAGTTCTTTGGTCTCTTTGCTAGCAAAAGGCCTAGTAAGAGCTGGAAAAAAAAAACAGATACGAGTATCATACTCCAGGTGCTGTGTTAATTTGATGTTCATGAACAAGTCTATAAGTCCTTCACTTTCCTCTTCCTTAACTTTCTCTGGGAGCTTTGTTACTGTCAGAGAAAACTCCATTCTTCAGCCAGTTGCCAGAGAGACCGGTATCTGCTGAAAATAATTGCTTTGATTACTTATCCATCACTCTAGTTCCAAAAATGTGACTGTGGCTGAATGACCAGACAGTTTCCCTTCTGTGTTGCCTGTAGGCCAATGCAGATCCATCAGTGATAAACTGCTTACACAACCTTTCCCGTCGAATCGCCATCGTCTTGCAGCATGAGGAGCGCCGCTGCCAGTACCTGACCAGGGAGGCCAAGCTGATCTTAGCTATTCAGGATGAAGTGTCTGCCATGTCAGAAAGTAAGTGTTGAGCTTAGCTTTGTGTACAACTGTATTTGTGCAGGAGCACTTTTTCAGAGAAGTTTTAATTGTGCCTTTTTCTTTTGTGGCTGGGATCAGTATGAACAAGTTTTGGTGCTCTTCAGCATTCTTACAGCTTTTGACTGCATTTTTCCTCATCCAAGAAAACTATCCCTGTGCAGAGATGTCAGCTTTAGAAGTGAAGTAATTTGGTTGCTTTCCTTGCTGGCTTGGTTCAGAACAATCATTGGAGAGGATGTACTGAACCATCATGTTTGGATCTGCCTGTCAGGATGATATGGAAGAACTCATATGTAGCTACTTCACCCAACGTAGAGCAAGTTTCCTATGCTCTAACACTATGTTTAGTTACTAGACTTCTTGTGTGGAAATTTTACTTTTACATGTAGTTTTCATGGCCAACAGATTTTTATGCACAGCATTTTTGTAGACCATGCTTTATAGCAACTTATTAAAATAATATGCACCATCTAAGGTGAACTCTTGCTGACACATCATCTTGCTTCAAGTATTGAAAGTAAAACCTAGTATGTATAAAAACAAAAACACTTAAAATGATCACGTCAAGTTCACAGGTAATGTGTTTAACTAAGCTGAGGATCAGAAGTTGGCATTAATTCATTGTTATTATCTTAATGGTTAACTTGGATTATCATAAAAGCTTTGAAATATAAATGTAGATTAAAAAGATATGGATTCTGTGCCTAAGGTACTGCCTTTGCCTAGAGGGGGAAAAGGAAATTCTCTCTGCTTTGAAATTATTTGTTTGCTTCCTTGTTTTGAAATTTTCCATAGCCACAGAAGGGCCACAGTCACCTTTTCATCATATCCTGCCCAAGTGCAAATTGGCCAGAGATCTCAAAGAGACTTATGACAGGTAAGCAGGATTTCCTTCATAGCTTATAGTATGTTGCTTGTCACTGAAACCTCTTGGCCCTGTTCCTTAGGAGGTTATCTATGTCTTTATGCTGCTGACTCATTGAGATTTGGGTTTAGATGAGGTGGAGGCTAGGTGTCAGGTAAAATGTTTGCAGAATTGCTATCCTAATCATCACCTTGGTCTCCCTTTGGATATATTATGTTTCTTAAAAGTCGGTGATCTGTTGCAGCTTCAATAATTATTTTCCTCTTTGGCACAAAGGCACATAAGGATAAACGAATTGTAAAACTGAAAAATCTGAATATAAAAATATGAATATTTTGTCTCTGTAGTAGTGCTATAAACCTGCAGGTAAGAGAAAAATGCTGCGTATAGCACTGATGGCCACGTTAGATACTGCCTTGGCTTCATTTGGTTACACTGTGCATGTCTAGACAGTGAATTTGGATTAGGTGGTGAGACTTTCAGCAGAATGGAAAGTGTAACATGCTGTTTCTCGACTGGATTAAAGGTTCTGGTGAGGATTTCAAAGAAGCATTGAGCTAGTGTTGAATTTCAGCAGGAGTTGGGCACGCAGCTTCTCCAGCATACTGCTTCAACCGTATGTCGGTGCTGACTCGTCATGCAAAGCAGACACCTTCATTCAGGATATACACTTGGCAGGAGAAAGACAGAAGACAGAAAGGTTTGGTGGGGTGAAAGATGAGCCCCTTGATTAGTGTGTTTGTCTGGACTTAGGAAAACTACTGTTGAGTTCCTTCGTTGACTGTCAGGCACAGTGTATGATCTTAGACCAACTCTTTAGTTTCCCTAGGTCACAATTTCCCTTGTTCAAAGGGAACAATCACAAAGACCTGGAAGGCAAGGCACTGAAAACCTAAATAAATTAATGATTGCAGACAAGTTATAAAACTTCTAATAAGCTGTTTTTACTGCGTTCAAGAGGTGTGAATTTCAGCTTGTTCGGAACGAGTGTTGCATATTGTTCAATAAGATTCTCATAAATTGTATGCTAAATTTTAAAATAAGGCTTTTTTTTTTTTTATTCATAGCCTGTAATTCTCATATCAAACTTTTCACTTGCTTTTTACGTTTCTCTGTTCCTCTCAGGGTATGAATTCATGACAGGGCAGATACTGATCTTGTTTCCAAACATTTTAGTGACACAGTGACATCTTGTGGCATTTAACTGTGACTGGAGGAACATATAGCCCAAGCTCATGGAGTAGTACTAGTGTCCTTCCATGAAATAAGGAGTAGACTGGCCATGGAGAAACACACATTGGTGCTGGCTCCCAGATATAAAACAAAGCAGTCTCCCTCATTTCCCTCATTTAGGCATTGTGGGTGGGGTAGAGGACGTGCATGTCAAATTTTGACACTATTTTGCATGGCATTGTCACAAGTTAAGAATTAAACTGTTGGTAAAAGGATAAATGACTTTGCATTTGATTGGAAGCTCTCTTTGAAGAGTCATTAACAGTGTTAGCTGGATGGGTAATAAGGTGGTGTTCTGCATTTTCCATTAATGCTTTATATGAGAAAATAGGAAATATGCTTATTACACCTGCAGGCAGATAAGGTGAGAGGTGCAGCAGCACCTTGCAGGGCAAGCATATAACTAAAATAATTTTTTGGTCAAGTAGAAGAAACTGTCCAGCACTGGAGGGACGGGGATCTGCTGGAGCAGGTCCAGAGGAGGCCATGAGGATGGTCAGGGGGCTGGAGCTCCTCTGCTGTGAAGAGAGGCTGAGGGAGCTGGGGGTGTTCAGCCTGGAGAAGAGTCTTTTAATACCTAAATGGGGCTTGTAAGAAAGATGGAGAGAGACTTATAACAAGGTCATGTAGTGATAGGACAAGGGCTAATGATTTTAAACTAAAAGAGGGTGGACTTAGATTATGTATAAGGAAGAAATTATTTATTGTAAGGGTGGTGAGGCCCTGGCCCAGGCTGCCCAGAGGAGCTGTGGGTGCCCCATCCCTGGCAGTGGTCAGGGCTGGGCTGGGTGGGGATTTGGGCAGCCTGGCCTAGTAGGAGAGGTGCCTGCCCATGGGACTAGGTGATTTTTAAAGGTCACTTCCAACCCAAACCATTCTATGATTCTGCGATAAGTACATGCAGTGACAATGTACTGGTTTAAATATATGGGCATTTCTGGCATAGCCTTTGGCATAGGGAAACATAGTTAGGTGGAGAGGGCACTTTGAATTGCAGATGGGATCCCGTCTCCCCATTTGAGATTTGCTCAAGCCAGCATTTCCTAGTGCCTGCTTGTTTTGGAATTCCAGTCAAGTGCTTCTTGAATTATTGCAGTTGCTTCAGAATTGCTGTCTAGCCTTTGGTTTCCTGTAGATGGTGCTGAGGTATTTCAGGCAAGACCCAACATGTCCCTTAGTAAGCTGGTTTGTAGTAAACCATGAGTGTACAAATCTTTTTATAGCTCAATGTCCGTTGCATTTTGAATGAAATGTCCTTATTTTATAAGGTAATAATCAGTAGCCAGGTCATTTTGACTGTAGTGCTACTGCTGCTGTTGTAACTGAGTATTATTAAACTGACAGTTTGGAGGTAAGCAACATCTAGTTCCTGGGACCTTTTTGGCTAATACCTAAAACCAGATGTTTCTCTTCCATTAGTTGAGAAAACAAGTTTGAAAATCTTTTTCACCTTCCCCTCAGAGGAAGGGGAACCTTTCCTGCTTTTACAATGGGGGCCTCCTGTAAGCCAGCCTTCAATTTAAGGAATTAAGACTACTTTCACCAATTGTTAGAGCAGATAATTTGTTAGCTTGATGATAGCTAAGTGCCCATCTGTTAGCAAATTTTTATTAGCTTTATATTAGAAGAAAAGTGAAAATACAATTTTTTGAGGGGGAGGAGAGGATTGGTTTTTGTTTATTTGTTTTTAATACACAAAGAGCCTTTATACATTTTAGCCTAGTGGGATTTGAACTGACTGGTGGATCTAGCCTCTCATCACCTTAAGGGGAAGAGGAATAATTATATGAAAATTAATGAATTATTATATGTTATTTATATGACTGTACTATGACATATAAGCCAACTACAGTTAGTTGACCAAAGGACAGTGATGTCTTTTACAGGGAAGAGTAAAACTATTTGACAGCTCCAAATAGTCACAACCTCTAGTAAAAATAATCTCAAAAGCTACAAGCTCACCCCTACAAAACTAGCAAGCATGTTATTAATGTATGGTGTAAACGGGATAAACATAAGATGTGGTGTGTGTATAGGAATTTATAACCAGTTTATAAAATGTGAGGTGGGATTGGCTGTGTTTTGCTGATAGTTGTGAAAAAGAAGGCTGGGATTCTGTAGGATCTGGCCAACTTTAAGATTCCCATTTTGGGGGGATTAAATCACAGTTGCTATTCAGGGCAAAGCATAAGAACAGAGCAAAAGAGCATTGATATTCCCTAAAATATTCCACAGCTTCCTGCAGCTTGCAGCTCTGGAGGTGCTTTCTGTATATTCAACAGCCTTAAGCTGATCTCATTTCCCGAAATTAGTTCACTCTCCTGCAAGCCAAAGTAAATATTTAACAACCACAGCATCCTCTGATAAGGAGCTCCATGGCTTAACTGGTTGCTCTGTTTCTTTCTGTTTCTTTTTGAACTTTGCTCCTCCTCCCAGTCTCATTAGATGTATTTTAGGTCTTACACTGGAGAGACAGTGAACAGCTTTTTACTGGTTACTCTTCCCTGATTCATTTTCAGATTACTACAAAATCCCCTGTCAGTATCCTAATCCCTTGCTATGTATCCCTCAGCATCACTCATCATGTAGCATCTAAGCAGAGATTTCCAACAAAAAGTGTTGAAATTAAGTTTTCATGAGAGAAATGGAACATCAATGAGGATTTAATGGAGGATTAGAATATGGAGAATGAAGCCATTTTTACCCAGTTTGTCTGTGGCAATCTGCATTCATACCTGTGCTGTTCAATGTGTTCATATTGATAACTGGCCTGGAAAAAGGGGCAATGTGTGAAGTGACAAAGTTTATAGATAATAGCGAAGGGAATAAAAACACAAATAGATGAGGAAGATTTGAAGAAAGGTTACTGGAGACCAACTCATCAGCAGATGATATTCACTATGGTTGCATGTAAAGTAGTGCACATGAGACAAAACAAACCTTGTATAATATATAACTGTTCTGAAAAGGGCGTTTGGAATTAGAGCAGATGGTTCAGTGAAAAACCTCGGGGTGCAGTAGCACTGAAAAAATCCCCATAAAACGTGAAGAGAAGTTGGGAAAGGAGCAAAGAAGAAAAGAGGTAATCCTGTACATTTCTTGTAAATCTACCACAGCTTTGAAATCTTTGTGTAATTCTATGTTTCCTGTCAGGGGCTATGTAAATGCGTCCCCGAGCCAGAGGCTCACGGTACAGTGCTGGCCAACACAGTGTTCTCACCTTCTGTGGTCCTGTGTCTTCCTGGTGCTGGACTGGGGGTGGGATAGCGAGGTCTGTGCTCTAAGTTTTCCTTCGGATTTGACCTGTTCACTGCTGCTAGGTACAGATGATTCCGCTTTGGTTTCTAACTGTGTTTCAGCCTCTTTAGGATAGGATCAGCACAGTGGAGCTAGCACCACATCTTTTACATACGGACATCATGTTATAGAGTTACATGTGCTCAGTGAGCATGGATATCACCACTTACACAGGACTGTTTGCTCCACAATTTTAGTTGTTTGAGAAGAGCAAAGTCGAAGTGCAGCTAGGTGACTCTGTAATGCAACTTTGATAACTTACAACTTGTTTGCTTGGTTCTTTCTTCTGTTGCCAGTTTTTGGTGTTGTGCTTCTGTCCCTAAAGAAGGAAGCTTCTGGGTGTGCATGGTCCCCAGCCAAACAGCTGGCAGCCAGCTCATGGGGATTCATGAGGCTTACAGTAAAAAGCTTGCTAAATAGATGACTTTGTGGGAAACAAATAAAAATGAAAGCAAATGCGGATCCAAACTTCAATTTCACACAACAACAGCATGGCTGAGGCCTGAGGCCCCTCTGGGCCCATGTGCTCCCCCCGTACTCCCACAGGGCCACCCCGAGTAGGACAGCCCAGGCCCATGTCCAGGTGGCTTTGGGAGATCTCCAAGGAGGAGACTCCACAGCCTCTGTGGGCAACCTGTGCCAGGTCTCCGACACCCGCACAGCACAGAAGTGCCTCCTGGTGCTCAGAGGGAGCCTCCTGTGCTCCAGTTTGTGCCCACTGCCTCTGCGCCTGGCCCTTGGCACCGCTGAGCAGGGCCTGGCTCCATGCTCTGTGCACCCTGCCTTCAGGGATGTGCAGGCATCGGTGAGATCCCCCTGAGCCTCTTCTCCAGGCTGAGCAGTCCCAGCTCTCGCAGCCTCTCCTCACAGGAGAGGTGCTCCAGTCCCTTCATCATCCCTGTGGCCCTACATTTGATTTTCCCAGTATGTCCAGGTCTCTCTTGTACTGGTGGGCCCAGGACTGGACACAGCACTCCAGGTGTGGCCTCACCAAATCTAGGTAAAGGGGAAGGATCACCTCCCTTAACCTGCTGGCAGTACCTTCCCTGATGCAGCCAAGGGCGCCGTTAGTCTTCTTTGTAGCAAGGGCACATTGCTGACTCTTGTTCTTCTTGGTGTCTACCAGGACTCTTAGTACCTTTTCTGCCAAGCTGCTTTCCAGCTGGGTGCCCCCAGCATTTGCTGGTGCTTGGGGTTGTTACTCCCCAGGTGCAGGACTTTGCACTTCTCCTTGCTGACTGTCATGAGGTTCTTGACAGTGCATTGCTCCAGCGTGACAGGGTTCCTCTGGATATCTGCATGGCCCTCTGGTAAATCACACTCCTCACAGTTTTATGCCATCTGTGAATTCAACGAGGGTGCACTCCATCCCATTGTCCATTTCACTTTCTTGGACTTTACTGTATTTCATGAATCCTTGCATATATTTTGGTAAAACTAATTGATTTTGACTGGCTAAGTGCAGTCACATACATTGTTGCTGGTGGATGTATTTTGTTCCCAGCCAGATTATTAGAGACTTAAATTATTTTCCATCCACAAGGGGAGGAGTGAAAGAGAAATTGTTACATAAAGCTAGCTATAGATGAAGGTTTGAAATTGAATGCAAATGTGGAAAAATGAAATTAAAATTGAAATCAGAGCTCAAAATCTGTTTTTCTTGTTGTCTTTAATTTTAGGCTATTGTTGTATAATGCAATGTAGACAAAATTATGCTGTGGAGAATGTAATTATATAATTAAAGCTTTTGCCTTAATGCACTTGGACCAAAGAATGAAAGGAACCAAGCATATATTTTTCCTGAGTGTTAGAGTACACAGGGAGAATATCCCTGCAAATGTTTCATGTTTTCATGTTTCTTTGCTTCATTTTGGTAACGCATTTTGACAACCACACTAACTTTCACATAGTATCTTAACTCATTTGTGCAATTGATTTTTTTTGTCATGTTTTCTCTTGTGGGTGTTTGGGCCCCTACACAGTGTGGATAACTACTGCTTCAAGGTGCCCTTTACCTTGATGTATTTTAAGATAATTCAGCTTTCTCTGTCAGTTAGTGTATGTCTGGTGGGTTAAGCAGTGTTACCGGAGTTGCAGCAAGACAAACTGAGGTGTTTGCCATGCTTTGCATGTTCCTTCAGGGTTTGTAGCCTCTAAATGGGTGTGAGATGGTAGCACCGGAGAGTGGATTTAGCTTTTCAGGGAATTTTTTTTTAAAGGAAAACACGTATAGTGTTTGTTCCATTAACATTTTGGAAAATAAATACTTCTCAGTGTTCAGTGCAGGATTTGAGAACAAAACCATGGCCCCTGCTTTACAAAAGCTTTGTCTACAGTGAGATTTGACTTTATGAGTCTGATCATGCAAAAGGCAGGACAGGATCTTGTTTGTGCTCTCACCACTCTGTTGTGGTTTGGTGAATAGTTACACTGGCAGCCAAAGCTACCAATGCCTTTGTTTTAAAGCTGAATTTTCTGATCTCTCTAAACTCCTTATACAACCAGATGAACTTGAAAAAGAGCATGTTAGTTTGTGGCCTAAAATTAAGCGCTCAGAATAAATGTTTAAATCACCACATAAAGAATGTTCAAGACATGTATTCAATTTCTGTCTGCTCCTGGCTTGTTTTTAAATGTGTTTTGAGCAGAGGGGAAATTCTTGGGTTTTATCTACACAAAAGTCATATTACAAGTCTCAACACACTCAAATTTAAAATTTAGACTGGAATGTTTGCAAACTGAAGTTTGTAAAAAGAATCACAGAATCAGAATCACAGAATTGTCTAGGTTGGAAGAGACCTCCAGGATCACCTAGTCCAACCTCTGACCTAACACTAACAAGTCCTTCACTAAACCATATCCCTAAGCTCTACATCTAAACATTTCCCTGGGCAGTCCATTCCAATGCCTAACAACCCTTTCTGTAAAGAAGTTCTCCCTAATATCCAACCTAAACCTTCAAAATATTGTTTTGTTTAGAAAAAAATATTTTAGAACAAACTTCAAAAGCAGAGGGCATCTTAAGGGAGCTAGAGGTTTGTTTTTTTTGTCTGAAACCTGGCCTGTAAAGGTCTACCTGTGATTCTGTGATCTACAGTTACAGTTACCTGCGTGCGTACTCCTGATGGATTCCAGCCAGCTCATCTTTAGGAGTTGGTGCCATGGAGTGATTAACATTTTGAGGACTGGGTTTTGTTCTCGGGATGAAACATTCTGAGGACTGTTTTTTTTTTTTTCTTTTTCTGAGGATGAGGTTTGAATTCAGGCAATATTCATTTAGCCTCTGATGCACTTTGTTAATCTTGGAGGACAACAGCCTGTAGGCATCTTGAGAAGTTCAGCTCTCCAGTGTAGACAAAGTTGGCTTTGGCTTAAGAATGATTAGGGAGTTTGGTTTTGTTTCTAACTCCCTATACATGGAAAGATGTTCTGGGCCTATAGGTGCCAAGAGCACCTATATCTGTGATATAGGTGCTCTTGTCTGCTTTGTGGAACTGAGATTTTGGCAGAAACTACTTTTTGTGGTTCAACATGCTTTTGAAATGCAGGAGTGAGGGCAAATAAGGCAAATACTTATCCCAAATGGAAACTTTGCAATTCTGCTTTTCAGCTTGAGACACTTTACTTGGATGCATATGTTTAAGTCTCAAGTCTCTGAACTGTTTATGGATTCTGAACAAACGGAGCTTTTTCCAGAAAGATGGAAAATGGTGGTGAAAACATTGTGCCTTATTTATCTTTGCCCTTTCCATCTCTGGTCTAGGGAATTTTCTAGTGTAGTGACCTTGCTGGAGACCTTCAAGTAACTGTTCTCTCTTGAGATACTGCTGCAATGTTAAGAGCAGAGGGAAGTGGCAGTCAGTGGGATATAGTCTTGCAAATTTCCCCAAAGCCTCATAATACATAATGCTCTGTAAGTACACATTAAGGAATCCCTTGCAGCCAGGAATCATCCATCTTGTCCTCATCCAGTCTGGCAGTAGACATGGTACACTCACCCTTCTCACCCTTTTCTTGCCCTGCTCTGATTCCCGTGCAGAAATCAATCTGGTCCACTATTTTTACTTGGTATACACTATAAATGCTGTATGTATTTATTTTCTTCCCATTATAGTCTCTGTACAACAGGAGTGGTCCGATTACATATCAACAACTGGCTGGAAGTGAGTTTCTGCCTGCCTCATAAAATCCATTATGTTGCAACAAACTTTATTCCTCCAGAAGCAATTGAGAGAAGCCTGAAATCGATCAGGTAAGAGCAAGTCCTTCAGGCTGCGGTTTGTCCTTTCACCAGGCCCAAGTATTATGCTGCAAATGATTGTACTGGAACAGCTGGGGGGATGAAAGGACGCTGAGTGGTGGGTGGCTGGGGCGTGACCTGAGACAGGACTCCCTGAATCTTATGCTGAGGTACTGTGCTGCTGCTGTATACGTGGTGGTGCAAAGCCACAGCTTTCGTGTTACCATAAGGTGGTTTGGTTAACATAATTGAGTTTGGTAGGCAGTGCTGCAGGAGAGGTCTGCACTATTTGCATTCAGAGAAATTGTGTGTTCATTTGAATCTGTTGACACAGGACTAATTTTTCTTAAAGAGGAAAGAGAGCCTGGGCTCTTTGATGTCTTATTTCTTGCTCTCTATGGTTACAGCTTTTTACCTGCAAAACTAACTCAGTCCTGCCTTCTTCCTCTCTTCTACTTCATTCTGTATTTCAGTGATGCAAATGTGCAGTTTTCAGTCGAATTCTTTAGGGTTAACTGTATGCCAGCACTGTGTCATTTCTTCTCTAGTCACTAGGGTATCCAGTTATCATATAACCCTTTATCCCCATTTTGTGGGGAACATCTTATCTTGTAACATAAAAATAAGCTTACTCTGAATCCACTTACAACAAAAGGATGATAATATTAGAGTGTCACTTTTACCAGATGAGGTATCATGGCCTGGGAATAACTAAACCTTTAGGAAAAGTTGCAGTTTACTGGGCAAATATATTCCTTCTTTTTCTGCAGGCCTTACCATGCCTTATTACTTCTAAATGATGAGAAGTCGTTGCTTAATGAGCTCCCATTGGACTGCTCTCCTGCCCTGGTGAGAGTAATTAAAACTACCTCTGCTGTGAAGAATTTGCAGCAACTGGCTCAAGATGCTGACTTGGCATTGCTGCAGGTACGGGGAACTGTAAGCTGAAATTCTTTTAATTCACAAGACATTTTCGTTCTTCATGCCAGTGGGTTTCGGTGGTATATGAGCATGTTAGTTTTTTTTCAGCGTGAGCAGAGTGCACAGAGAAAGCTTGAGCCTTAGAGTGTGGGGGAAAGATGGGCGAAATGAAGATCAGTGGTGCAGTGATGGTGCACATCAGTCCTGCATCCAAAGCTGAATCATGGGTTGCTGTGGAAATTCTTAACCTTGTCAAATGTTTTTTGATGTGCCACATGTTATTTAAACCCTGAACTTACTCTGAAGGCAGAGTTAAAAGATAGAATATTTTGCTTTCATTTCAGCTCAAACAAGACTTTTTGGTCATCTGATATGACTTTTCTGTCATTGTATGGAAGTCCTGCTGAGATTTTGAATTTTGCTTTTTTGCTGTCCTAACTTTTCCCTGTTTCCTTAATGCAGGTTTTTCAGCTTGCTGCACATCTTGTTTACTGGGGAAAAGCAATTATTATTTATCCGCTGTGTGAAAACAATGTCTACATGCTTTCTCCAAATGCCAGTGTCTGTCTGTAAGTAGAAGGAAGATCAATGATTGTATTAAGAAATTGGTGAGAAGTGCAGATTTTCTTTCCTTTCCTATCTGACTGGATACAGGGTAGATCTTTCGTTGTGTATGAATTTGTTGCAATTGTGCAGAACACTAATCATTACATGTGCTGGAAATTGCAAAGCCACATATGAGTTTGTCTGGGGTAGGGAGCGGTATCAAAGCAGTTCAATATGTTTCTGCAGTGACGTGGGACTTGGAAACAATATTTACATTGTGATGCTACTCTTAGTATGTCCCATACTTTAGTACATCACTGTGTCCATATCAGAAAAGGTTGTATGATCCTTAAGCAATGTGGAAAGACTTAGAAAACTTGATTAAGTTAAATCACTGAATATTTCACGGGACTGTCTGGGTATCTGGCACACAGCATCACCTGAAGAGAATCAAATTAGCAAGTCAGGGTAGTGTTGCCATCAATATTGTGTTGTTTCATATGATGGCATTTCCACTTACATGCCTTTCAGTAGACTGAAGGTAATGCAGATAGTCTGAGGGAAGGTAGTGGCAATCAAGGAAGATATGGAGGCAGCAGTGGATATTTTTGCTCTGCTGAAGATTGGCAACTTTTTCTGGGTTGTATTTTGAGATGTTTTTAGAATCCATGTTGGAACTCAGTTATAGGAAAATACTTCTAGGTCAAAACTAATGGGATGGAAGTATAAAAATAGTCCTGAAAGGGACCTTGAGGTCATGCACGAACAGCTGTGCCTGTGTCATACATGGCAGTGCTGTTCTTGAAGACAAACAGTTTTCTTAATATTTAACTTGACTCTCCTGTACTTCTAATCAGTCATATTGCTTTCCTTGTTCAGCACAGGCAGGGAGAGCAGTCACATCTGCAGCTGCATTTAGCTTGTTTGAAGATTGTGCTTACATACTGCCCATCCCCAGTCCTGTCATCTCGTGACTGACCAGTCCCTGTTCCTTTGATCAGAGACTGCACAGGTCTAGACTTTTTATCATTTTTATTTTTCTTCTCTGGATTCTTTCCACACCCTCAGTAATACAGTGAAGTTGAATGTAATGCCAAGATGAAAATACATATTCTACATGGTTACTTAAAGCAAGATGAAACATGCCATTAAGTACCCTTACTGTGTTTTTAGATGATAGAGAATATTTCATTTGAAATTGACACTTAATGTAATGCTTAAGTGGATAAATATTACACTGACCGGCACTATAAAACTGACTTCTGCTTTTTTCTCTTTTCTGTAGTTATTCTCCATTAGCAGATGCATTTTCTTGTCAGTTTCGGGGCCACAATCTGCCATCGATGCTTTCCAAGTTCTCCCTCCCAGTGTCACTCTCAGAGTTCAAGAATCCACTTGCACCGCCTGTTCAGGAGGTGAGATGGGGGAGCATGCAAGAGCTGTTTGGACAGTGTATGGTTGCCCTGCTAAGGAGAAAAAGGACTGGTAATATTCCTGGAGTACCTGGTTAGGAACTTGCTACTGTAGGCTTAGAAGTTGCCACTTACTACATTTCCAAACGTGATTTGTTGTTTCATATCCATGTGCCAAAAAGCTGTGGGGATTTTCAAGATGAAGCTGTGTGGATGCTCTGTGGTAGCAAAGCACATTCCTAAAAGAAAAATCATAATGCTGCTTTTCCTTGAGTGATGTAGTATGGAAGAAGAGTGAAGGCCTGTCATAAACTGTAGGGATAATGCAAGTTTGTGGATTCCTCACAATCACATTTACTTTTATTATATCCCATCTGTTTTTAAAAGCAAACTGTCTATTCACTTAGCTTTTGGTACAAAACTGGAATTGTTTGAAGGCTATTGCAGGAAGTAGATTCAGCAGGTAGTCAACAGAAGCCCACGTGTTACAACATCAGCATTTTGATGTTCAGATTTGGAATAATAGCATATTGATTTTCAATTTGTGTGCTGTTATTTTGCTTGATCATGGTTTGCAGCATTTCTGGGAACTGGCAAAATGCAAGAAAGATCTCAGTAATGTAAGACCTCCAGGCTGATGCTATTACATTTCCAAATGAAATAACCTCTGAACAATCATTGTGGCAAAGTGAGCACAGGCAAATTTTTTAACTGGTATCTGGTAGTGCTGTTTGCTAGCCTTTGTACTTTGATGACTTTCTGTTTATATGAAATTAGTCACTGTTCAAATACCTAGAAGATTAACATCAATCGAGCACACAAACAATTGCGAGAGAAGAATTTGTCGTAATTACAGGTTGGCAGAGATAATGATCAGAGATAGAGGTAACTAATGTAGCTTCTAATCCCCATAGTATATACTGGTCAGCTGCCATCTTTAGAAACGGGGGAAGAGCAGTGACTACTGTTTTGTCAGTACTTTGCTGTAGTTGCAGACAAATCTATGTCCTGAAAATTGAAGCTGAATCAATAGAGTTAATTTTATTTTAGCTGCAGTAGCTTTAGGAGGCATTTTTACTCTCAGTACTTTTTAAAAAATTAATTACCTGCTTTAGGACTTTTCCTTCAATACTTCTGGCTGTTTTCAGACATCTTACTTTTGTTTAAAATATGTAAGTAAAATCTGCCACTCACTACTGCAGTTATGAGGAAAGCCTTGAAACAACAGTGTGAGTCAATGTTTGCCAGAGCTGTTGGAATGCTATAATAGCTCTTTTAGGCTGTGCATCTTCGCTCTGATGCTCTCATCTCTGTGATGGAGCTCTGAAGGTCAACAGCATGGGTGGTTTTCCTCATCCTTTTGGCATGTGTTCATGCACTGAGGATGAGGATGATGCTGTGAAAAGCTATGGAACTGCCTCCCGCAGTCTGAAAAGGGGAGGTGAGTTTCTGTGGTTGTGGAAGACTTGGGACTCCTTTGGCAAGACATGCATGAGGATGAGCAAGACAAACCATAAACCAGCGGGCTGCTGTGAGAGATGGCTAGCTTCTTTTGCGTAAAGATAAGCATGGCAGTTCTTGAAGAAGTTTGAAATGGAGAGATGTTTTTGTATTATTATGTTCCTGTAGAAAAGGTACATTCCTCTGCTTTAATGTAGCTTTATAGAATTCCTGTAGTATTGTTTTGTTAGGGACTAGCCTTCTAAGAGAGATGAATCCCTATCCTGGGGTGGCCAGGCTCCAATTGTAATTAACAGAAATTTAGTCGACAGAGCAAGTAATCTGATGAAACGTGGGTGTTCTTTCTTTCTGCTGTGCAGCAGTAAAAGATGCTGCACTCTGAACTGTAAATATTGTCTAATTGTGTTTGCTTTGCCTTTGAAAAAAAAATAACAAAGTTTGGACTTTTCATTGTAATTTTGTACATTGGAGTGGATGTTTTTTAATTTGTGGTGCTTTTTTTTTTAACTTTGAAGAAATTCACCCATGGTCATATCTTGTGCTTTTCGTCATGCTGACTGTACTGTCTCTGTATTTCTGAAGGTAGTCTGTACTGGAAGGTCAGTACTGTGGGAAGTCTAATTGCTAGTTACCTGTGAGAAGAGACCAACCCCCAGCTCCCCACACCTTCCTTTCAGGTAGTTGCAGAGAGCAATAAGGGCTCCCTTGGGCTCTTCTCCAGACTAAACACCCCCAGCTCCCTCAGCCACTCCTCACAGGACTTGTGTTCCAGGCCCTTCACCAGCTCTGTAGCCCTTCTCTGGACATGCTCCAGGGCCTCGATGTCCTTGTAGTGAGGGGCCCAAAACTGAACCCAGCACTCAAGGTGTGACCTCACCAGAGCAGCATACATGGGGATGATCACCTCCCTGGTCCTGCTCGCTGCACTGCTCCTGAGACAAGCCAGGATGTCATTGGCCTTCTTGGGCACCTGGGCTCATATTCAGGCGAGCATTGACCTGTCCAAGCCATGGGCTGCCAGCTTCTTCAGGAGAATTCTTTGGGAGACCATTTCAAAGGCCTAGCTGAAGTCTAGGTAGATGACATCAGCAGCCTTTCCCTCATCCACCAGGCGGGTCACCCGGTCATAGAAGGAGATGAGGTTGGTCAGGCAGGACTTGCCTTTCGTGAACACATGCTGACTGGGCCTGATCCCCTGTCTCCAGTGCTCCATTCCTCTGAGTAGATGAAAAAATGGGACACTGGCATTTCTGTACTTGGAGTACTGTGGTATTTTTTGGCTGGCAGACGGTACAAACAACCTGCAATACCCTCAGTAAGGACAAGACTGCCTTGAGAGCTTCAGTGCATGTCTACTTTCTGCTTTGATGTCTGTCTGTCGGGTAGGTAGGAGGTGGCCAGGCAATGGCATCTGTTGAGACTGCTTGTGCAGTACGTTGCAGTTGAATTCTTCAGTGGTTGAATATTCATCCTATGTCAGTGGTCTTGTGCTTATATTTGCCGAGTCTTTGGGTAGGGAATCTCCATGCTAGCTTCCCTTTTTCTCTGTTTAATCTGCCTTGCTTGGATAGCAGTGCTGCAGTAGCATGAGGATGAGCCTATGCCTACAGCTCAGCTGATATAATGGCATCTTGGTGCTGCCAAGAGGAGGCGGCCCTGGTTTTCCTTTCCATTCTCAAGTGTGTGTACACATGCCTTCCTCCTTTCCCCCTTTCCTTTGTGCTGGTGCTCTGGCTCCTGTCCAGCTTGACTCTATTCACTTAACTTGTTTCAGTCTGGCTGGTTTTCTGCCAGGTTAGCAGGTGGAATTCGCTCAGGGGATCAGCAAGTTCCAGGACTGGCACAGAGCAAGGGAGGCACTTTTGCAGCTGGGTATGTGAGTGAGGAAAACAGAAGCAACTTGTAGCTAGAACAGCATTGATATCACATATTGTTACTGGGAAGAACTTAGCTGCATGTGTATGTAGCTTGTGGGCAGTATTAGCTGCTTGGACCTGCAACTGTGTGTTGATCAAGAAGGTCTGAGGTTACATACAGAAGCTGAGGGTCTCAGTAAGCACATTAAAATTTCATCTCAAAGCCACGTCTGACACTCACCTTCCTGCTTAGTGTCGTTCTGTTTTCCCTTACCTGAGAACAATGTGATTTCTAAAGAATACAGCAAGCTTTTCTGCTGATAAGAGAATCTGCCCCTCTGATTTGCACAGGATTGTTTGTAGAGTTACCAGCTTTTTGCTCCCAATCTTGTTGATAAACTAAGATGCCTTTTATCATTGTGGTGGCGTTAGCTAAACGAAGTGAAGAGCTGTGAGCTTTGAGTCTAAGTCCATATTCAGTTTATCTAAGATTACAGTCTTAACTGAAGGTGTAATTCAAATTCCTTTTTTAAAAAAAGGATCTGAATATCACCTAAATCAGGTTGTACGTTTGTTGATAGATGCTCTTTCTCAAAAGTTGTAGGAGATAAGGAGACACAGCCTAAATTCATTGCATACAAAGCAACTGGTTCAGTCTTGACAAAGAATATAAGTGTCTGTGTGCAGAGAACACCCATTTAGGGCAGCCTGACTCTAGGGTGGCCTTACGGCCTTTTGGAAGAATATTCTTGCAGAATGTTGTAGAGCAGTAACACCAGTCCTCTGGTCATGTCCCTCTGTGCTGATGCAGGAGTATCAGGAGCAGATCAAAACTTCAGAGTGCAGTAATCACTGCTTAAGTGGCAGGGTGTCATCTGAGGAGCATTGCTCAGTTGAATTGTGAAGGGGGGTGTGCGTGCATGTGTGTGTGTGTGTGCACCTGTACAAGCACTAAGAAGAAGCAGCAGTTACAGCAGCTGGTTCTTTGAAGTGCTGTACACTCAGATCTGTGATGACCCATTGCCATTTTTCCAATCTCTCACTGGGATCTGGGATGAGTGGCAAGGTGTTCATTGGTGCGCACCCCTTCATGCCCTCATGTGAAAGCACTGAAACACTTGGAGCCCTAAAACCATTAGCTCAACATCTTCCATTGAGAGAGTGAGTGTACCAGGCATGTGCTTGACAATTGCAATTGCTGCATAGGAATGTTTTAATTCTGCTTCTCAGTGCAAGGTTTTCTTTGTACAATATCAGAGTTTCTTCATCCAGATACTCTGTGCTAAGTTTCTTGGCAAACCAAGGATAAGTCATAATACTTGTGGCTTCCCTCCTCCATGCCTTGTAGCCTCAGCTAGTTCATCTGTTTGAGACAAAGATTTAACATCTCTGTGCTGCCCTGAGGAACAAAGATATCTTTCCACCCATGAGGTAGAAGGGATGCACCTATGTGAATTAGACATCCCATTTTGCCCCTGCATCCCCTTCACTACAATAGTTAATTACCATAATACACAGTTATTATTGCAGTTAACTACTTCTTCCTTGATGGGGCTAGGATAACTGTGGAAAAAAAACAGAGAAGTATGAGAGCTGCCAGTGAACAGAACATGCATGATTAGTTTTTCACCTTTGCTTGAATAAAGTCAATCCATACTGCTGGGACAAAGGCACCAGCAGATGAGGCCTCTGCCTTACACATCCGGAAGACGTGCCATGCTTTGTGTAACGGCACAGTGGAAAATGAGTGTGTGTGTCAGAGGATGGGAGTGGGAGGAGAACTGCATGCTGAAAAGGCAGTTGTCTTCTGAGAAATGGACTGCAAATGGCACTGTTCTGCTGGGCATCTGGAAGGCATTAAGAGGCACAAAAGCTTTTGTTGGCAGAGGTATGGAAACAGTAGGGTTTTTCAGTGTAGCAGGTTAAAAAACATGGCTTTCTAGGCCTGAAGGGAGGGAACGGTTAAGCTCTCTTGGTAAAGTGAGAACTCAGAGCTGTCACATAATGATCAAAATGGCAATATTAAACAATAATGTTTTATCCTTCATTAATAGGGGTATTCTGAGTTTGTTTTATTCAAAACAGGAAAAAATGTAATAGGTTTGTTATTTGTAAAGCAGGATGGTTTGAGTGATAAAAGAGCTTAATGCATTTCAGCAAACATCCATTTCGTGCAGTGACTATGCAGGTGCTGTTTTACTGCCACAGAGTGATGCTTAGTTCTCCAGGCAGACCATGAAGAGCGTGTGTCAGATTAACTAGATAATCCAGACTGGAGAAGGGGGGTTTACATATTTCAGCAGGCAAAATGTGCTGGTTCTTAACTAAGAGGATATCCTTGAGTAGTGAGAAACACTGAGCTGGGATTTGGGTGCTTCTGTGGTGCTGTTTTCCCTTTCCTGAACATGTTGCTAGTCCCTGTTACCTTTGTGTTTTCTTTAGCTTTTTAGGCCTGGGAAAGAAACAACCTCAAAGAATCTGTGCAGGAAATGCATTTTATTTAACATACTACTGAACAGCTTTAGGAATGCTCCCTTTGATTCACAGAGGGAATGAATGCTAAATCCTGTTCCTCCAGGATCTGGATCTGAGCTTTCCTGAGTGTCTCAAACTGCCCAGATGGGTTGCTGTACAGTGCCCACCTTCTTTGATTTTGTCAGTAAACACAAAGCAATGTATTGTTACCAATGCCTTCCATGCTGTGGTGCATACTCTAATTTGCCCAGGGTCTGCTGTGCCACGACGGGGGTGAGGAAAGGGATGGCCACGGGCTGATCTGTGCCAGTGGGAACCATGCAGATGCTACAGCTGACAGAACCCCTCAGGCTGGGGAGAGGGGAACTATGAAAGAAATAGAGATGAAATTCAGAGTTGATTGTTGAATTAAACAATGAAGAATATTTCCTTTTATATTTCTATCATGGTATTGGTGTTTCAGCCAAAAAAAGGCTGGCTATGGCTTCCTACAGTCATTCTGTGACTGAGTGGAGTCAGTCCTGGGACTGAAGCTTACCCTTTCCTGGGAAGCTTCTCTCAGCCTTTTTTGCTTCAGGAAGAACCCAGCTAATCCAGCAGACTGAGACCAAGCATGGAGATAAGCTTGTGTCCCTGAGGGATGAAGAGCATTTCCAACAGACAGAGCAGCACAGATGGTGTGGGGAAGCCCTCTCTCCTACAGACCTTTCTGGAAACTCCATCATAGCTCAGGACGAACAGATGGAGAAAGGATATAAATTTTGTGTTCATGTCTAGAAGTGCAGGCAGCAGAGTATTAGCAAAGCCTCTGCCTTATCTTATCTGTGAAAATGCTTGCTGCTTTTGGTAAGAAATAAGTTTAAACCTGGAAGAAGTATTTTTGTGTACATAAGACAAAGTGGAAAAGGTGTTGGGGGTGTATTAGCAACGATGGCACAATACACACAGCTTAGGGCATAGTGCCTGCTATACGTGCTTCACTGCCTGGTCTTTTTTTTAGGACTGGATTTTAAGAGACTAAATTCCCACTGAAGTCAGGCTTATTAGAGATATCTTCAATGATCAATTTCTTTTACCTAGAGGTGGTTGTTCAGGCTCACTTCAATACAGAAGAACAATTCTCTCTGGTTTTAAAGTTACTCACTATCTCCAAGTCTCCCAGTCATGGCACAAAGACATTAGGCAGTCATTGTTTCAGGGAAGTGTCTTATAGTTGTAAATCTTTACCAACACTTTTGCCTGGCTTATTGTTCCACTGAGCCAAGGCTGTTGTCTCAGGGGTGACTTTCTCTAGATATTTGCATAAGAGGATTGGAGTGAAGGTGTGTATGCAGAATGGGAGAGTTCCCAAGCACACAGGGCTGCAGCAAAAACAACTGGCTATTGTTGTAATTTACAAAATCACCAAAGTGGCCAGTGGAGGTTGGTCTAGGTCAGGCCCTACACAGCAGATTCTGCAGGTCTGGCAGAGCCTGTCTTTGTGCCTTGAGTTTTCTTGGATTTTTCTGAAGTTATTTTGGTCTATGAAATCTGCAGACCTCTTTAATTTGACATGAAACTAGGTAATTAGGTGCCACTGCATGCCAGCAGGTAGGAAATTTAAGTAAAACATAAAAGAGATCTTTCCATTCAGGCCTGCATCTGGAAGGAAGGTTTTTAGCAATGTAATCCCTGGAATAAGCCTCTTCTATTTACAGGCTGATCTGAGATGTTAGCAAAATAATATGCAAATGTACTTGCTATCTTCTGCTAACTTCCCCTTCTCTAGGTTTTCTTTTAAACATATAAAATTAATTACACCTTTTATGGAAAAGATGTGTAGAAGGCAATCCCAGATAAGATGTTTTAAAATTAAAATCCATTCAGCCTCAAAAAGTGGTAATCCCTGAAAAGACAGGGTGTGTGTTTATCTGCAAGCAGAAGATGTTTCTTTTGTGATTTGATAGCAGAGAAGGAACTGAAAATTAAATGAATTATGGAAAAAGGAAGATTATGTGGGCTGATGAACTTCATCTTGGGGGCTTGTATTTGAGATTTGGCCTGTTATCCTGATGATTAATACAGCAGAGCTAGCTTCCTTCTCAGTCTGAGCTCATTCTGTGTGTGTTTCTCTCACCAAAACAATGTTGGTTGCTATGAAATCCCCGAATAGCTTTTGTCAGTGAATCAGTGTTTTCAGAGCTGTTAGCTATGGGAAGGGTTGTCTATAGTGAAATGAAAAGGCTTTTTGTGTAGAAATTCAGACATGATGATGGGTTTTGAATGCTCCTCTAAAACTCCCAAAAGTAGGCCATGCCAGAAACCTACCAATGTTCCTCCCTCATTCTGCCTGCTGCTTTCAGCATCACCTTTGGGACATTGTGCTGCTTTGGCTGCTGCAACACAAAGGTGTTTTGCTTGTTTGTTTAAGTTGAGCGTCATCTCTTGGCAGATTTTAAACTCTTGCCTGTCTGTACTATAGAAAGCTAGGTGCCTTTACAAGCATGGCCTGTCCTCTTATTGTGGAGAGATGGTGAGTAAATGGGCGATATTAACCCTGCGTATTGAGAGGGGACTCCCTGGCAGCCGTAGGCTGCTGTTGCTTGTCCAGTTTTCTGCTGCCGTTAGCATTATTTCTGCAGCAGGAAGGGATTCCTGGCGTGGCTCTGACACCTGGAGCCTCTCATGGTTCTGCATTTCTCACCTGACGACAAAATTCTCCTACCCGTGGGCACCTGTCTTGGTTGCTTCAGCTGTGTCCTGTCACCCTGCCCTCTCCCTGGCTTTCCAGGAGAAGATGAACTTTGGTCTGACCACTCTGGGATTAACCCTTTGGTGATTACTGGTTTTAGTGGGCGCTGTGTAGAAGCCAGCATGCTGATCCCGGGGCTCACACTGCTGGACCTAGGCCATCAGGGCCGCATCTGCCTCATTTGTTTCCCACACCCTGTGTCTCTCAGAAGGATGATCATTCTTTCTTTTAGCATCTACTATCATTTTTGTTAAAAGAGGACTGAACAGCTCTATGTGGGGTTGTATGGCTAAAGTATTAGGTGTGGCTATATTTGTATGGCTAAATCTTCGTGTGGTGAGGGCATTCAGCTGCTCTGCTAGAACATAGCAGCTGCTGAAACTCTGGCAAGGGGGCAAGGTTGGTTTGTTTGGGTACACTGGCTGTGCTGGCCAGTGTTGCATAAAGACATGTTGGTCATTAGCAGTTTGATAACAGCCTAAACATACACAAATGCTTTGGGTATAATGAGCACACACGTGCCTGATCACCTTTTTGTGATGGAAAGTGTAGGCTGATGTTTCAGAGAAAATATAAAACTGTTCTCTGGCATGGAAAGCATTTCTGGTTGTGATTTCTTAGGCTTTGTGCGTTGTTTTTTTTTTCCTGTTTTATTTCACAGGTGTATAATGTCTCTCTTCTCACTCTGCAGACTCAGCTCATTCAAATGGTGATATGGATGCTCCAACACCGGCTTCTTATTCAGCTTCACACTTACGTCTGTCTGATGGTGCCACCAAATGAGGAGGATTTCCGGGCCCAGGATGAAGACATGCCCTTTACTGCCAGAGTTGGAGGCCGAAGTTTAAGCACCCCCAATGCTCTCAGCTTTGGCTCTCCGAGTATGAGCAAGCTTTTCTCTGTTCAGATTACAGCCAACTTCTAGACCTTCTGTTAGCGATGCCTTAGTATCAAGAAAACTTGTCTTTGCTGGAGTGCTTGCAAATTATGACTAGCCCCTCTTAAATTTAGAGCTGGGCATTAATGAAAGTCTTAAGGGCTTAAACCCTTGTTTTTATAAACAAGTAGTTCTTTGTAATTTGCCAAGTTCTCATTTGGTTATGTCAAATATTTTAATATTTATCAGAGGTACTTCAGTACATTTTTCCCAAGTAAATTTCTACTTCCTTGCTGTGCTAAAGAGTAACCATGAAGGACTTTTGGTTGCACTGCTGTTACTGCATGAGCTCTGGTTATCAGGAGAGGAAGAAAATTGTGAAAAATTGTTTTAAACAGCATTAATTTCTGTGGGCTGTAGAGCAGCATGCAGAAAATACCAAGCTGACTGTCAGTCTCACAAATGGTTGATTTCTCTTTCCTGGCATATTTAATTTCCTTAGTGCCATTCTTCAGAGTGATTCTAGGAAAGCATTTTCTCAAAGAGTAAATCAGATACAATGCAGAAATCCCTAAGTGTGCCTGCCTGTGCTGTCATGAGCAGCATTCTCAGAACGCTGAACAGCACTGCGGCTAGAAATCAGGATTGATACTCTGTGCAACCTTCAGCTTTACAGAACTCACGAATTAGGGCAGAAATCTCGGAACGTGAGTTTGATAAGTTTGTGCTCTGCTTATTTTGTCTCACTCACAAGAGGATATTGCTTCTTGGCTTTTCTGCTTGCTCCCACCTTCTGTGTTGTTAGGCTTTTAATGTTACCACTTCATGGTATTCCAGCAGAGCTGGCTGGGAATTTTCTTTTCAAGTGTTTTTATGGACTGTTTATGGTCTCCAGAAGTAGTTTCCCACATAAATTGATGACGCTGTTGAAATATTTGACTTTCCAACTGAGAAAATTCCTGTGCTGTCATATCACTAGTTGCAGATACATGTAGCATTTCCAGAACCACTTTCTACAGATCTGAGGGGATTGTTTGGAAAGACCGCACAGAAATGACCTGAATTGATAATCTTTATGTTGTTATGCTGAGGAATGTAAACATTCTGTCTCTTTTCTCTCATCCCCTGATAGCTAGTAGTGATGACATGACTCTGACAAGTCCTAGCATGGACAATTCCAGTGCTGAGTTGATACCTGGTGGGGACTCACCCCTAAATAAAAGGATGACAGAGAATCTCCTAGCAAGCTTGTTGGAACACGAGCGGGAAGCTATCCTCAATGTCCCTGCTGCCCAAAATCCAGAAGATCTTCGCATGTTTGCAAGGTAGGAAATGAGTGCAGAGTATAATTTTTTTTTTCTTATCCTTACTGTTTTATTGAAGGATAGGCATGGACTCGAAGCAAATACCATTAGCTTGGCATTTTGGAAGATAAATTGTTTTGGTTTTGTTTCCTTTATAACTATTTCATACAGTTTTTGACAAAAACTAATATATATGTCACAAGAACACCTGTTAACAAAATTCTTCATGTATGAAGGAGCATCAGGACATAAGACCCTGTTGTCCAACCATCACTGTTTACCTACCAGTTTTCCTGTGTCCACACATGGTAGATATAATAGCATAGCCTAAAAAAAAATATCTGGGTATGCAAAGCAAAGACTTATTCATACTGATACATTTTGTGTTAGTATTTTCCAGCCAGATAGTCTTTATTTTAAGATTTCTAAACTACATGTAAATATGAGACAAAGAAAAAAGCATCAGAGACAAAGTCAGCCTGAATACTTCTACAGAACAGCTTACAAAGGTTTCAAGGACAGTTTTGCTGAGATAAGCTGCTTATTTGAGTAGGTTAGTTAGCACTATGTTGTGTGATTAGTAGCACCCAGTTTTGTTACAAATTTCAACACAACAAAAATACACAAGGTGTGGTTCAGCATATGGTCAAAAGCAGAATGACTTCCTAACCAGCTATCTGTGAAAATGTTAAGGGGGAAATTTTTCCTTTCCTGAGCATTTCAAAACACAGTGGCATCACTGGAATGCAGCTTTCACTGTTTTTCATACTTGCAGAGCAGAAAACCACCTGGGGCAAGTTCTGTAACATTTTCCATACTTCACAAATTCGAGTGGTCATCCCTGAAAACATGGTTTTCACCCTAGGATGGATACAGTCGAGTAGCCTACAGAAACTGTATTGGCAAGAAGTTGCTTTTCTTATATGTGATGAAATTTGCAGCTTCGTTACCAGATAAGTGGTTATATAACCTGTGAGAAAGAAAAGTAAAAATCATAATTGGTAGTATCTTAAGAAAGAATTTGTGGGGGACACTTCGGGTGAGTTTAGTGGCAATGCAGATTCTTAATTATCCTGGAGAGAGGAAAGGCTCTCATTATTGCTTCTCTGTCACTTCTTTCATCTGGATAAAGCAACAATTTGAAAGCTTTTGAATTGCAGATGCCAAAAATGACTTCAGTTTCATCAGAAAATCAGCTGCCGTAATCAGGCAGCTGTCTTAATGATGTGTATTTTGCACTTTGTCCATGCACTAGGTTCTTTAGCAAAGCCATGCTGAGCATCTGCAAAATGTTAATTTCCATTCCACTGTAGATTGAATTGACAACCATAACTCACTCTTAAGTCAGCAGCAAGAAAGAGAGGAGGTAGAGTAAATAGATTGGTCCTGTGGGTAAGATGCTAGAGTGTAAAAATAGCAATGTTTATACAAGATGCTCTTGGTTACTTGTGATTTTATGAGACACCGCAACTTGGAGGTCGTGCATGTATTTTCTCTCATTTTGTCCTGTAAACCATTAGAGATGAGTGTCTGGGTGAGCATGTGGCTCTTAGTGAAAGTATAAATAATTGTGGAGAAGCCACTGCAGTGAATGAGCTGATCCTCCTCATTACCCCAGCAGAGGTTACTGCGTCAGGTCTGCTTTTTGCTTCATCTGGAAGAATAACAGCCTAATGAGAGCTGTGCTACAGCAAATAGCTGTGCTGTATCAGCTGCCTACCAGAACAAATTCCTACTATAAATGCATAGTTAGTGCACTAAATATACTGTAACTGACCTTCTAAGTATAGTTTTGTGTGTGCACGAAGGGATGGTCTATTTTCAGTATAGCAGTAAAGTTCAGCCTGATATATTTTCATGTGTCTATGCCTCCGAACTCCTGTTATTCATTAAACAGATGCCAGAAAGAACTTGTGCCTGTCCATTACTATGCAAAGCCAGTATTTGCAAGGCAGAAACCTTAAGGGGGAAATAAGGGATATGGGAGCTTGGCTTTAGCATTGGCTGCATTAATCCTCATAGCATGGAATCGGAATTCAAATCCAAGTTGTTTCCATAGGTGTTGCTGGAGGAGGGATGGCATTGTCCTTCCAGAACTACACTTGAGAAGGAAAAAAGCTCTTTTTGTGCTAGATCTTCAGTAATGTATATAAAGTGTTCCTCAATGCACATCAAGCAGTGCTTTTAAAGATAGTTTGAGGCTTCTCTCCCAAGCCATGGGTGTAGAGTCACTTTTGGGATTTTTTCTTACTTTTAGATTGAGAAATAGAGGTCCTTTACTCCATAGAGGAATATTCGTAGGTGTTATTAAGCTGTGGACAGTTCTGCTCCATCTTCAAGAAGTGTTGGAAAGGTTATCTCTTTGGCTAGATATAAGCTAATTTTATTTGAATGACTAACCTGAGATATCTTTTTTTTTTTGTCTGAAGCAGTTTAGGGAACTGCTATACCACCACAGTGCTGATAGCAGGGCAGCTCTGGTAACTTGAACGGGGAGGCAGGGAGGACAGTGATGAGCAATGGAAAGAAATAATCTTCCATCACTGCATCTGGACCTGGAAGCACACATCTGTCAACAGACACAGTTGTGCAGCTTCAGAGGGACCCAAATGCAGCATTATTGCCCTGAAAATTGCCATCTGATGTCCTGTTTGGGTCCCATAAATGTTCACTGCCTGACCACGTGAAGATAATGCCTGCTTTCACTGGAGCTGTAAATGAGGGTGCTTGCTGTAACCCTTCTGTGGGGCAGTGTTTAATGACATGCCATCGTACTGGGCACTTCCCTCCACCCTGCCTGTGCTAGTGGTTTATCCCTGTGTAACAGCAAAATGAGCTTTCTGTTCACTCCTCCTTTAATTGCTGCATTTTCCAGGTAGGAGTTGCCTGGGACAGATGAAGTGAGGCATTTCCCAGAGCTCTGGCTTGCAGGCATGCACATGGACACGGGTGCATGCACGCGTGAAGGAGCCCAGCGCAGTTACTGGGCTCAGGTCAGTCAGGACAGACGGGAACCAGGAGCAAAGCGTGGGGCTCACCAAGCCTGACCACTGACTTCTGTGGTGCACACGCCTGAGCTTGTTGTCCATGAATATGTCCTTATTATTTTGTTAGAGGCAAATGATACATTAGTGGGGGAGAGCAGCCATCAGACTGAAAGAAATTATTCCTTTCTATCTGGTGCTGCACCTGGAAAACTGTCTCATTCCCCTCTCTCTCCTTCCCCCAGGTCATGAAGAGCTTGGTGAAGGTGGAGAAGGGACCGTGCTGGCTGTGGGGCTGGGGTCTGGGGCAGGGGGCAGGTGGGGAGGCTCATTCAGATGGGGATTATTCAGGCCAGCAGAGTGGAGGCTGAGGGGGATCCAATGCCTGCCTGCAGCACTTTGGAGGGCAGCTACAGGTGATGGAGCCAAACTCTCCTCATTACTGGCAGACAGTTAAACGAGGGGCAGCAGCATCAAGCTTGGTAGATTCTACTTGGACATTAGGGAAAACTTCTCCAGGAGGGTGATGCTGCCCAGGACAGATTACCCAGGTATGTGGGAGGATCACTGCCCTTGGAGAGTTACAGAGCTTGGGCAGAAAAATCTGCAGCGTTGGCAGTAGTCCAGCTGGGACAGGAGGCTGGACTAAGCCTTGGAGGTGACTTCCAGCCAGCGTTTTTGCGATATTCTTTAATATCCTCTCTAGCTTTTATTGGAATGGAAACTATTTCATCTTGACCAGTTACAAATCCAGGCTCTTTTTGAATATAGGACGGATGTATTTATTGGAAAACTCCTACTTAGGTTGCGTAGCTGTTGAAAACCAGGTTGCAGTCATTCGCACAGAAGTCAGTTGTGCCGGGGGATGAGAGTTTGGACAGTCACCGTGAGCAGCTTTGTAGGAGGGAGGGAATATGGAGCTTTTAAAATCTTTCAAGTGATTTTTTGAGCAGTGACACAGGTTAGGGGAGGAGGAGCTTTGGCCAGGGACAGATAGCAACACAGTGCCCAGACAAGGCTAGACAGCATTTGATTCAGCTTGGAAAATCACAGCAAGTAAATCTGGGCCAAAATGAAATGGAGAATTCTAGAAAGCAGTCCTTCTGGGGGAAGAGTCTGGTAGAAGTGATAGGTAGTCATTTTTAAAAAGAAAGGATGCTAATCCCCCAGCTAGCTAAAATGTGAGCATGAAAAGAAAGAAAATCCAAGATCAGTGTTTTCAAAAATTACCATTAATACTTCAGGCAATGGTGTGTTTTTGAGGCACACAACCCCCCGCTTTGCCTGCTAATGGCCACTTCTCAGCGTGCTGGTTACCATCGACTGGGGGAAGGAAGCTGATCAGCCTAATTTAAATGCCCGGTGGGAGATACTGCAGGAGGCCAATGCACTCCACTGATAGGGGAAATGTAAATATGACTGGAGCCCGTTGTTTGTTTGCATTTCAGACTTAGCAATTATGTTCTGCATAACGGTGCCAACGTGAGAGCTGGCAGATGTACATCAAAGCAGAAGGGAGCGTGCAGCGTGTTGTGCTTGCCCTGCGTGCTCGTTTTGCTGGGGAACTGCACACCCCCGGGCTGCCTGCAGGGACGAGGCAGCCGTGGTTCCCTGAAATGAGCTTACCCGTGGCCGGGGAGCGTGAGGAGGGTGATAGGAGCAACAGGGCAAGATGGGGAGATGACAGGAGAGTGCAGGTGACCGATAGCTTAAAACCACGTGTGTGTTGTGTACAGGGAGGGTGTGCTGAAGGGAGGCTCGTTGCGTACAGACTCCTTTCCAGGTGCCCATGAAGGATGGTGAGGTGACTGGAGTGCCCAGCCTGAAGAGCAGAAGACAACCAGGCAAGCTTCAGTCCTTCAGTGAAAGCAGGAGAGGCCCCATCCTGCCATCACCTGAATACAGGCAGGAATGCTCTAAGGGATATTTGGCATCTTTCAGGGGCTGTTCCTGCATGAGGACGGTATGAATGAACTGGAAAACAGATCTTGTCATCTCCACTCATTTTTACCGTCAGTTGGCATAAAGCAGCAGCCCAGTATGTTCCTAAACTGCAGATGGGTATGGAAACATGAGCAAAAGCTGATGAATTCCAGAGCAGAGCATGTGATGTATAACACGTGGAGATGCACATCTTTATGTTTAACTGGAGAAATGACTCTGGCATATGTGTTTGGGCCTTGGCTAGTGGGAGTACTTTGAGTGACGTGCAGCATGGTTCCTTCATTTGGGAGGTTGTTAAGACAATTAAGAGGCTGTGCAGCAAACCTGAGCTCTATCTGAAGGGCTGGCTTGGTGGTTCTGCTCTGAGGGGTCTTGGGGGAGCAGCAGCTCCTCCGCCACCAGGGACTTGCTGCAGCGCAGAGCCCGCAGTTTGTCTTTGACCCTGCTGTGACTGCGCAGGGCCGAGGTGAGCTGGTGTCTGTGCAGCATGGTGGTGCCCAGCAAAGGGATATCTGTACTGACTAACGAGAACTGGCCGTGTAAGTAGTCACTGTGGCTTTAGCTTAGAGCCAGGGTTTAGGGGCTCTTTCAGGACTTTGTAATTCCCAGGCCTTCTTTGTGGTGATTCTGGCCAAAATTGCCATCTCCCTATTGCAACCACTCCACCCACCCCAAGCTAACCAAACCTCAAGAGTGCGTGACCTGTAGTTACCAAGCCACTTGGACTGCTCTGGGGGAAAATAGCCTCTTAAGTCTAAAAGCAAGTGTAGTTACCTAGACTGCTGCTGCAGAGCTGTGACAAGCACATTGTAGATCCAGCTAAGAGACTGCAGAAGTAAATCTGTCACTTCTTGCTTTCAGGGCTTGTTGGCACTTGTGCTTCTGTGTTTTCTGGAGTTAAAACTACTGACAGTCTCAGGAAATGCCCTAGGCCAGGAAACTTTTCGATACAAGGAGGGCCTCTGCAAAACCCCCAGGCTGCATTTCCTCATTACAGACTAGCTGCCGTGTGATGTAGGGATGGGGCAGCACGGAAGCAGGGCAGCCGTTAGAACAGCTGGGCACTGCTGAAGCAAAGTAAGTGTGATGGAAATTGCACACGTAAATGAGAATTTAGTGGGTGATGTCCCCTGTACTGCTCTCCCGGGGGACTTCTGTGCTAGGCATGTCTAAGATAGGCACAGATTTCACTCAACTCAATTTTCATGTAAATGAGGGACACAAGCCAGGCAGTCTTCTGATTTGCATTCCATTGGAGGGGAGACCTTGAGGGTGGCAGTATCGAGTCGAGTCTTGCTGCATCCACTTGCTTTTGGCCCACATGCCTCCCTTGTTCTCTTTCCCTGCAGGCTGCTGCACTATTTCCGAGGACGACACCATTTGGAGGAGATCATGTACAACGAGAACATGCGTCGCTCCCAGCTGCTGATGCTGTTTGACAAATTCCGCAGTGTCCTGGTAGTGACCAGCCACGAGGACCCGGTGATTTCAGTTTTCCAGTCAGTCTTAAAATGACTCTACTGGCAAAAACCTGCCACACGCTTGGTGTTCTAGGAGATGCTTAAAACATAAGAGATGAATTCAATTCCTTCTTGCCACATGACACAGAGCAGGTTCTCTCCCTTCGTGCCTCCATTTCCCATCTTCATCCTGTGGTTACAGCTGAGGCCAGTCTATGTGAGGGGCTCTGGGGCCTGCTGCAGGACAGCGTGTGCTTGCTCAGCTTGGATTCCTGCCGTGCCACCTGCACAGCAGGGGAGCTGCTGTGTCACTGTTTTCCTACTCCTTCACCAGGGATTGTAAGTGTGGTCCAAGAAGATTTTTAACAGCAGTGTTACTGACAGTACATTTGGGTGGATGTTTTGCAGGAGAAATGCTTTTTCTGCTCTCCGGCAGTGTGACCGCTGGGTCATTTAGCCGTGGGCACCGTTCGTGGGCAGCCTCTCCCTACGGCAGACCGTGCTTGGCTTTGCTCAAGGGCAGAGCAGAGTTGTCCTGGCTTTTAGGGACATGTCCCTGGGTGCTGAGGAATTCTGTTTGATCATCATTATCTGGCAGCAGTGGGGACATAACTAAGAATGCAAAGTATCACAAGTAAACAGTTTCATGAATGGAAATGACTTGCTTTGTTATGGCTTGCTGCTTCCTCTCCCCAGTATCCTTATTACTAAGTGTCTGTGGGGACCCTGTTGTCACAAGGCAGCCTGTTTGCAGATTTGCAGGTGTGTTTTTGACTGGGGCAGGAGGAGCTTGGTTACAGAGCAGGACTGAAATTGTCTGGCCATACTGCAGGTGCTTGGCTGTATTTGTTCCACAAAGCTGCAGGCTGCTGCTTGCCCCTCTGGGGCCTAGTTTGTGGCTCCGTTCCCCTCCCTGCAAGCACTGCTGCAGCTGCAGGGCAGCAGACGAGGGAGCTGGCCTGGGTTAAAGCCATCCAGCTGAAAACCAACACACAGGGCTGGACGTGGCTGTGCTTCCTTACCCAGTTCAGCAACGCTTGAGCAGCTCCCCACAGCTGCTCACCATGGCGGGGTCCAAGGCGGCAGCAAGGCAGGGACGTTCTGCCATCAGCTGCAGCAAAGTGCCCGTTTCACCTCTTCCCCTAAGGGCAACGCTGAGCTCCAGCTGCTGCATGGGTGAAGGCAGAGAAGGCCCAGGGGCCGGGGCTAGGAGATGCTGAGCTCTTGGGCACCCCTACAGCTCTGCTGTGCATCCAGGAAAGGGCACAGGGGCAACTTTTGCTTCCGTGGTGGCGGCTTCCAGGGACACGTGGTGTGTACAGACCACCAGGCTCCTCTTGAAGACCTTCCTGTATACCGCACAGATCACACACACAAGCTTGAACTTTTCCCCAGAGCTGCAGGACTGTGAGAGCGGCTTCACTTGCCCACACGGCAGGGGTGAAAAACGCGTTGCCCAACATACCCACCACCAGCAGGGCGCAGCTGCACCGAGGGAGCCCAGGGCCCACAGCGTGCTGGATACCTGATGACAGCTACTTCATGCCAGTCCCTTTTGTGTGTTTCCCTTTGCGGCTGCAAGCAAGGATGTTACAGAAGGACAAAAGTGATGCCTGAGCTAGAATCAGCACGACGTTGCTGCAGGGCCCCTTGGCCCATCCAGTCCCCAGCAAATGCATCTCGGGGCGTTAATGAGCTGGACATAACTAAGCCCCTTTGGAGGAGCAGGGCAAGAGTCTTCTCATGTGATGGGGGGGTTTGGAAACTTGAACTTTTTCTTGCATGTGAATCCTGAAGGTGGAGAGGAATCCCCGTCATCTCCATTTGTGGTCATAGGGATGATGCTGACACAGACTGCTAGCTGAAGCCAAGTGCCACACGGCACTGATGGGATGTGGTCACCTGAGCCCAAGCCCGGGGACACAGGTGAGCAACAGACCTAAAGGGGAAGGGGCCAGCCCACCAGCTGCTGGCCAGCACCCAGCTGTGCCTGGCTGGCAGGTGAAAAGACAAATCCTGTCCAAGGTCAGCAGGGCACATTGGCACCAGCCCGGCAGCAGCATTTGTGCAAGCTGTGGCTGAGTGCAGCGCAGCGCTCCCTTGCCCTCGTGGCACGGGAAGGCAGGGTGCAGCTCTCCGCGGGGGAAATTGCAGCAAAGCTGTGGCACAGAGGTTCCTAACACTGGCTGGTGGCCACTAAATTCTGAGACCCAGACAATTGTTTGGCCTGGCTGCATGGCTTGGTGCCGTATCTCCAAGGCAAACTGCCAGCAGGGCTGCAGTTCTGTGGGTTTTGTCCTGAATCCTAAGTGCAAACACACACACACCCCATACCTCATGGCAGGTTGCAGTGCTGAGAAGCAGAAGCCTCAGCATTGGTGCTTTCTCTGTGTTCAGGCTCACACACTCGTAAGTTTTGAACTGGTCTCAAAAGCAGCAGGAAAAATAAACAAAAAAAAGATGGACTTTATAGACTGGGGTTATAGATTGAACAGGGGCTCTTGTCCAAATCTCTGCTCAAAGAGAATGCATCTGGTCGGGTCACGCAGGAGCTTGTCTAGAGGAGGTTTGAATGCCTCCCAGGACAGATTGCTCACAGCTTCTCTGGGCTCCTGTTCCAGTGTTTGACCACCCTCATGGCAAAAAAGTTTTCCATGTAGCTAATGAGAATTTCCTGTTTTCTAGCTTGTGCTCATTACCTCTCATCCTGCCCCTGTGTACCTCTGACAGAACTCTGGCTCTGCCCTCTCTACAGCCTCCCACTAGGTAGTTGTAGGCAACAGGAGGATTCTTCTTTTACCTCCGCTCCTCCAGGCTGATCACCCACAGCTCTCTCCTCCCTTCTGTCAGCCCTGCTGCCATCCAGTCTGTTGGCTATTCCCCAGAAGATGCCAAGTGGGAAGCCTCTCCTGGGCAGCAGCACAGCAGGCCAGCATCATGAGCCTTCACCAGTCAGCCACCTTACCAGAGCCTGGATCTGTTCACAATGCCTCCAGTGCCCTTCAGTGCTCAAAACCAACCTCTGTTTTGGCTGGGAGAGCCATGCCATCTGCCTCCCCAAACAAAATTCCACCTTGCTGTCTTCATTGTGATACAGTACGTTTATTGTTAAAAACCTACAAGCTGTCCTTGCCACAGCGGAGCTTGAGGCTCTCATACAGAGCACCAATCAAGTCCTGGTTGGTGGCACACCCACAAGACTCATCAGCTGCAAGGGGAGGGTCCCCTTACTGCCATCTCTCTCTCTATTTTCTTGTCTACAACACTTACAAATTTATTTCCTCGTAAATAAAACCTGAGAGGTTTGTGTGACCATTCTCCCCTGTTGCCAACACCAATCCTGGTTGTGGCTACCACGTCCTGCTCCCCTGGTAGTTCATGTCCAGGTACCATCCAGATGGCTGCATCTTGGGTCAGGTCCCTTTGGTCAAAAGCCTTATCAATCCCAAACGCTTGGCAGAGCTTGGAGGGCCCGTTACACAGCTGCCAGTCCTTCAGTGGCTTTGCAGGTCCTTTCCTGGCAGCACTGCGCAGCTCTCTCATCGCATCTAAACCCCGAAGAGGCTCCAAAGAACGAAGTAAGACGGCAGCACCTTCCCCTGTGTGGAACAAGAACCACATGTTAGTACAGGCTTGTTTGTCGACAGCATCTCTGTGCTCAGCCCCAAGGCCAGCGGAAGCTCCTCAGTTCTAAGCCTGAGGGTGCAGGGAATTGCCTGCAGCACCAGCCACAGGGCCTCTACTTCTCCCAGGCTGTCACAGCCCCAAATCAGCTGCTAACCCGTGGTCAGTGCATTCCCTTGCCTATCCTGAATATCTGGAGTCCCACAACTCTGTGTCCTTGATTCACCAGAGCTGATTTGCTCTTCCTTTACCCCACTTCTTGATGTTCCCAGGTCTCGCTGCTGCTCCAAGGCTTGCCAGAGGACAAGAGGTTTTTCTTCTGTCAGCACAATGTTCAGGAATAAATACACATATGGTTCAGTTTTGGCATAACTATCTGAAGCTGCTCCCAAACCCAGTGGATTTATAATAAACTCTGATTATAAGATCTCCAGCTAACAAAGGAGAGGAGGAATGAGTGTGGATGCTGCCAACAGAAAGAGACAGCTTGTGGAGTGAGGCTGGACAAAGCCTCCTGGCAGGCAGCAGCAGGCACTGGGAGCAGCCTGGGCTACCGCTGAGGGAGCTTGGGATGGAGGCGTTCCCAACGCCAGCGCCCCGTCTGAGGTGTGGGTGGGACAAACGTGGCTTTGGGGAACTGCAGAGGAGTGCGATCCGAATCCTTGTGCCAGGGAAGCTCTCACAGGATGGGGTAGGCAGGGGCTGCACGGCCCTGGGAGCATCCCTTCTGCAGCTATGGTCCATCTGCAACGAGGAGGGCAGAAAGCTGCCATTCTCTTCTCAAATGTGATTTGTCACCCTGTCGGGAGCCTTTGGAGCTCCCCCTCATTTTGGGGACGGTGAAGCAAAGCTACAGCTCTGAGCAGAGATACTCCCCTGCAAGGAGGCTATCCAGCCAAAGTGGGACATAAATACTTCCTTGATATTTTCCACTGGGGAGCAGGGAAGGTCTTCTCATGACCTTGAGTGGGCGAGCTGAGAGCCTGGCAATGCGATCTGTGTGCTGCCCCACACAGCACCCGTTGTGCTGGGGCCGCCCACGACATTCCTCCTCTCCAGCATCTGCGCTCTGGTGATGCTGCTCCACAAGAATCTCCTCTCCCTCTCCAGCCTCAAACATCTGGAGCCACGCTCAAGCCTGGCAAAGGCTCTTCCGTAGCCCACCAGATCCCTAGGGACCTGCAGTTTCCAAAAATAGAAGCCCTCTCACATTTTGTACAAGGCCCATAACAAACTACTCTCCTGGGTTCCCAATGAACCTATAAACTGAAGGCCTGATTCTTGCTTTTGCAAGGTGTGCCTCTTGCCTTGAACCTGCCCAGAACCCCCACCGCCCCCAGTGCAGCTCAGTGAAATAAACAGACTTAATTCCAACAGCTGTCTGCAATCTGTTTCCAAACACTCCCTTCTCTAAGGAAGGGGACTGATGCTAATCTAGCAGCCAAAAGCTGTTTCCCTCTATGACAGTGATTTAGAGCTCAAAGCTCATTTTAGATTTTTAAGAACATGCTCCATGTCCTAATTCCGCTTTTCATCCGTGCAAACAGAAACATCCTTCATGTTGGGATGCTGCCTCACTCACCAGGAACAACTGTGGGATTCCGAGGAGCTGCTAATTACACTACTTGCCTTCATCCATCACAAATGCAAGTGGAAACTGTGGTTACATGTGAATTAAAGCAAGTCCTTGGGAGCTCATGTGAAGAAAGACAAGCCCTCAGAGAAACTCCAGGTGCTCCAAAGCATCCACACAGCAGTGGCAGGGTGTACCTGGCACTTGTCTCCGGCTGCTCTTTGTGCGTTTCCACTAGGAAGTTTTCCAGCTCTTTCTAGCTGTGCGCAACACAGACCCTGCTCTGCTCCAAGCCAGCAGCCCCTGAGCGTGAGAGCAACGCCACAAGAGCTTTGGGAACAGCCAGCAGGCAGGATATGAGTGCAGGGATGCCTTGATGAGCTACTGCTTTCTCTGCCCTCCCAGCCCGCAGGCTGGCGCTCAGGACCCTCTGAGTGTATTTGCGTATCAGAAGTTTTACTTTAACTACCAAATAGTACCTGAATCCTGGCTCACCTCCTGCCTGCTGGAGTGCTTGAGCCTTCCTTCTTCCCTTTCTGCAGCCTGCCACTGCGAGCTCGTGGGGTCACCTGGCTTCAGCAGCAGCCTGACACAGACACTGCCACCGCCACACCATCAGCGCAGCTCGGGTCCTCTGCTCCAGTCCAGAGACAGTGTATTTACCTCCCATGCCTCACAGAGTGACTCCATGTACTGAGCAGAGTTTAGAACTAAAAGCTGGGGTCTGGCAGCAATGCAGAGGCCAATTCTCTCCCTGGGCAGCTAGAAATCATGAAATGATAATGAAGTCCCACACCCGCGCTGTGCAGCTTGCTTCTCCCTCCCTGGATCAACTCCAGCTCTCATTCTTGGAAACAGCTCCTGGCTGCTGTAGAGACGTTTTCTCCTCTCTCCACCCATCTGACTCACTGCTCTCAAAGCACTTCCTTCAAAGTCCTGGTCTAGGATCCAAAAGTTAGGGAGAAGTCCACCCTGTGTGACCCTGAGCCTGGGTAGAGAAATCACCAGGATCCTGATTTTACACGAGATTATTTCAGATCTGGCAGCAAAATGCTCACATTGGCAAATGCCTGAGGAAAAAAAAAAAAAATCACAGCAAAGTCAAAGAGAAGCTTGACTGGCATTTATTATCTTCCTGAAGCAAGGGAAGCCCAGCATCCCTCTTAGCCCTTGGGAAGGCTCTTTGTGCTAAGATTATTCTGCTGTTGCCAAGATTCGCGGTAGGATTCATGCACGCTGAAGGACATTGCTTATATTTTTCTATAAACTTTTCTTCCTCTATCTTTTATGATTCCTCCAAAAACACAATGCAGTGACACACTCCATGGCTTCAGGCAGTACCAGTCTTGACAGTAATGGGAAAGGCCCCTTCCAGTATAGTCCCACGATTCAGCTTTCTCTTGGTGATGTACACAAAGATTTCCCCTTCCTCTGTGACAGAAAATACGAGACCACCCTTCAGCTCGTTACAGTTTTATGAACACAAAACCACAACCAAGTGGACTCGGCTGAATACACAAACAGCCTCAACTTCTCGCCTCAATGTGGCGAGGCAACGTGCTACAGCTGAAATGCTTTTGCCATCTGTTGGCAGCATCACATTGGGCTGAGGACTTACTGTTGAGGACACTGCAGTGGTGGTGGGTCGTGCAGTAAAACTTGCTTTTGTAGCTGCTCTGCCACACATCTCTGGCAGCACAGCTCTACTGGTGACACGCCTCTTCCTATCCCTGAGCTTAAAGTCTCGCATAAACCAAATACAAAAACCAGAAGATGTTTATCCCAAGTGGTAGGAAAACAGACAATGCTACGAGGCTACATATGAAAAAAAAAGGGAGCTTTAAAGAGCGAGAGGCTCAAGAGCCAAATACCTCATTCCTGAGAAGGTACGCAGAGGGCAGCAAGGAAGAGAGGCATATAAAAGCTTGCACACATGCTACTGTCTTAGATCCTGAGCTGTTTAAGAAGCAAAAAGCTGCCTGCACAATTCAAGTCAGAGTTTAGCTGTTGTCTGCTGCAACAGTCTGACCTGTGCTGCTTGCCTGGTCCCAACAGCGCATGTTTCCGGGACAGCCCTGTGTAGCAGCTATGCCAAGAAGGTAGCAAAACACAGGCAACACAGGGAGCACGGCGCTTTGATCTTCCTCCAGGGCAAGTACAGCTGCTTTCATTAAGTTAACAGCTCCACATCAGTGCTCAGTTCAGGAAGCTGAGCCGCAGCAGGACAGCAGCCAGTGGCTATCTTGAAATGCGCCCCTTCCTCATCAGGACCCTGCTGTGGAAGCAGCACGAGGGCTTGCCAGCAATGCAGAACTGGTCAGTTTGACCTGAGCCAGCACAGTTACAGCAAGACAAGGTCTCAGCAGGGGCACAGAAACGCTGAGGAAAAGCAGTGGTTGAGACAACAGAAATTTGGATACTGAACAGGCGTTTCCAGCATGAGGGCCAGATCACGCTACTCCAGCTGGTAAACGTGGCCACCCGATCGGAAAGACCAAAGCAGGGCACTGCTGGGGCAGCAAACCTAAGGCTGCAAAGCAAAATCTGCTGGGCATTTCCTCCTGCACCCCAATCCTGCAGAGTACAGAAAACTCACGTAAAGGCCTCAGTCACCATCAAAAGCTTTCCTTCTGACCTCACAGTCAACTTGCCATAGCAAAACAGGCCTAAATGAATAATTGATTATGCAAAAGTCATCGTGCAGTACCTGCTGACAGCTGTGGTGCCCAAGAACAGACAGGGAACACAAATACTTCCAGGGTCTGTTCTTACACTTACATCATCTCAGACTCTGTGTCCCCACAACACCATATCAAGGTTGCAGAGCAGACAGAGGCTGAGTTCATTTCTTTTTAGAGCACAGGAAGATCCTGGCAAAGACAGGTAATAACTTACTAACGGATCTTTTTGTTTCCTACAAATTCTCTCTTTGCTTTAGTGCAGAGACTCACTGTCTTGGGCATTGCTTAGGGAACAAAACGTCTGGTCAGACACATGGGGGAATGTACTAATGCAACACAAATAACATAAGAAACTAAAAATAAAGCTAAGAGCTCAGCTAAATCTTCAGATTTCCAAACAGCCTAACTTTTAAAGGTGTGGCTTGGAGCTATTTAGGAAGAGGGATATAAATTCTTTGTTAGCCATAATCACAGAAAAAGCAGAGACCCCAATCTCCAAATTCCATCAAAACAGCGAGCTCATTGACTGTTTTGCTACAAAACTAAACATAGGTATATAAGGGAAAATTTCCAAAAGCAAAGATTTCAAAGAAATCTTTTAGAATTCAAAGGCTAAGCTTTTTTTTTTTTAAAGTAAAAATTATTATTCCTAATATTTCGTACACTAAGAATCCCATCCTGAACAACAACAACAACAAAACATTCTTCTTTCATTATCTGAACAGATTTGGCAGAGACATCGTAATGAAATTCACGTGTTCATCCATCAGACTCCAGACTTCCATTTAGGAACTCAGGCTCTTCCCCCACAGTATTACCTGGCACTGTTTTTCTGCTTGGCTCCTGTCCAAAGGCCAAAACCTGAGGATTAATGGTCACTGTGACAGCACTTGCTTTCCAATTAGGAATATACAAGCCAGGTTTTTTTGTTTGTCTTTGTTTTTAAGATCTATCTTTGCAATGGTGAAAAAGAAAAAAGCTTTTGAGAGTTTTCAAACAAAGTAAGTGTTTACTCTAAGAAATACATGCTGCCATTTCAAGGTGTCTAATTAACCAATAGCTTTATTGCAAGGCAAACACTGTCATCTGTAAGTAAAGCAAAAAACAGGTCTACAAGCAACACCTGCTTGTTAAAAGGAGAATCATATGATTAGGGCTTTTATTATCTTGAGAATAACAGAAGATTAAAGATCCTGTAACAGCCTGTTTTTTTTTTTCCATTTTTTTCCTTAAGATACAGCAAAGCAGCTAAAATGATCCTATGGTGGCTACTTACTTATACCACCTTCAAGGAACAAAGTTCACCAGCTCACATGAATAAGGCAGCAGCTCTGGTCATCAAAACTGAAAGCTCCATCCTGTCCAGATTCCCTTCTAGTCCTTGACCTTTATTTCTGCATCTGAACAGCCACAGAGCTTGCAGCTGGGACAAAGACTCCATCTGGCTGGTCACTGCATAGCCAGAGATGGGCCCTGCTTGTAACGTCTGAAGCTAACACACTGGCCACAGCTACAAACCATTTACAATGGCAAAACTAAGGTCTGAAGGAGAGATTATGACAAGTCATTGACTTCACAGAGTCCACAGGGAACTCACGAGTGGCTGCACCACAGCAAATGTAGATTGAAATATCAGACCCGTGCTGTAGGCATTAAATCTCTTTCAGCCTCAGCTTACCTTGGCTGGAAACATTCACACAGAAGTAAATCCCGTAGATCTGATACACGTACAGGGTGCCTGGTTTCATGAACATCGCTGCGTTTCGTTGAGTTTGCTTCCCACCTTTCGAGTGGGAAGCTTCATCTTCCCCACCCAGATAGGCTTCTGTTTCAACAATCCTCCCCCAGAGCTCCCTGCCGTCAGGAAGTCGGCGAACTAAAATCTGAAACAGAGGTCAGAGGGCATTGGTTAGCAACCCCCTGTACAAATCAGCCACAGCACAAGGGTTGTGGAAGCAAGTCAGAAAAAAGGGCACGATGGTTCATGGCCATGAGTTCAGTCTGTAAGCTAGTAAGAACTCTTTCAGTTTCTACTGTCTGGGCCACATCCCAGTACAAGAAATTCCTACCTGTCGTTCACTCAGCAAAATGCTTGGAGGGTCTAGATGTTACAGTATCATACAGAGCAAATTGATGACCATATCTACAACAAAGCAGCAATCTCCACAGCCCACAGAGCTTCTTTTGTGGTTATTTTCTGTATTCTCCACCTCAACCCAGCAGCAGAGCTAGAGCTTTAAGGCAAAAAAGCATCACTAATATCAACTCTGAAGCACCACAAATACGTTTTCCTTTGATCAGAAGAAATATGACAGCAGCATAATTAAATAACTACTGTGACTCGATAGTCTCTCCTAGAGGTGTTTCAAAAAAGTCCTATAGAGACAGAAGTACTACTGATACTTTGGTTATTTTCTACACCATGGAGAGGGCAATTGCAGAAGAGCTAGAAAGTGGCTTCAGGCAGACAACAAAGGATCTTTGTTACTGCAGTGTGTTCCTCACTGCTGCTACCTCCTTAAATAAAACACAGTAGATGGGGAAAAGCACAACCACAACAGTGAAAAGATTCTCTAGAAAATAAACACTAAACTCTGTACAGCTTTTTTTTTTATACCTGATTTCTAAGCTTTTTTTTTTTTTTTTTTACTTAATGTGTGTTTATAAAATACTGCACTATGGTCTCATCGGTCTAATTACACCATGTTCTGTGCTTCCATACTTAAAAACCAGCAATTCAAGAATGACTTGCAAGAAACAAAGCATACCTCCTAATAAATCTTTTTCCTGGATTGTTAATGCAGTCATTGACCTGATCCAGTACAGATGCTCCAGAAGTCTGTCTTAAATGTTGCAACTCCTATATATCACATTTTCCCTACAGCAGTTCCCAAATCATTGAAAACAATATTTTATTGGTTTTGTGAACAACAGTGACTTCAGAAAAGCACCGGTGTCTGTGAACACCTCAAAAGCACATCCAGATGGCCAAATTTCTCTTTCAATATGATGAAATGCAATGGTAAAGTTACAATTTTAAGAGCAGGCAGGCATTTCCCTCAGTCTTCAGACAAACTATTTACAGGTATAACAGTTTAAAATAATAAGCAATACTAATAAAGCAGGCACCTCCAAAATCTGGTAGAGCAAAGACAATGGAAGTAAACAGTGAACTACCAATGCAGTTATAATTATAACAAAATGAAACCATAGATTACATCATGGGAAACTGGGAGTTATACTTTAAAGAAAATCTAAAATTAACACAGAATTTGCCTGGTTTGTAATTGTAGGCCTAAACAGGAAAAGTATGGAACTGGGACTAAAACGTCATCTGCGTGGGGCAACAGAATGCATGAGGATGTTGGAATCATCAAGACAACAAAAAATGCACTAGTACAAGAAAACTTCAGGTATCTTCATATAGACTAAGAAAATACCACAGTAGGATTGGCCACAGACCATATTTTTTAGATACCACCAAATGTCACTATATAAACTCTCAAAGTGATCCAGAACAAAATGCGAAGTGTCCTCCAAAGGCTCATCTCTGAAAAACAACTTTCACAAAGTTGTTCAATTTGTTGAGCTTTCAGCCATGAAGTATAAAGTTCAGTGTCCTTCCACAAGCTTTCAGGTCTAAAAATAATCTATTACAGTATTGCTTACCAGCAAAAAGGGGAAACTACATAAAATGAGGAAGCTTGTTAGGAAGAACTTAAAAGAGGCAGCCAAAGGCCAAAGCAGGAAAGGCAAGCCTCTAGCAGGAAGTCTATAAAGAGCAAATACACATCATGACGTCAGAGAGAAAAGCTGAGAAAGAACAAAAAAAAAACAGCAGGGTTAAAAAACAGAGCAAAGGCATCAATTACAAGCAAGACAGTATCCTTCAAAAGTAAAACCAAAGCTAGACACGGCAATACATGCCAAAAACAACAGTTAGTGGAACAAATTCCTGAAGTTATCTAAACCAATGAGAACCCAGAGAGTTCACCCTACAGATAATAAAGGTATTAAAAAAAAAGCCTCAGATAAGATTGTAGCAGTAAAACTAAAAATACATTTTGCAGTTGTGTTTAGGAGGTCCCAGACTGGAACTTTTTACAGGGAGAACACTGGAGGAACTCCCTCCCATAAAGAGAGCCAGAGGGTTTTCTGAAGGACTTGCTGAGCAGAAGAGACACACGTGATCTCCCGTACTCTGGTTTCCAAAGGCTTTCAGCAAGGTTCACCAATTCCTCAAAATTTCTGCAGTGGGATAAGGTAGAAGGTACTTTCATGAACAAGTAATTACTTGTAGGTAGGAATAACAGGTCAGAGTTTAACTGTGGGACTGTGGCATCCCAGAGGCCTCCATGCTAGGGCTTATCTTGCCTCACGTATTTGTGTTAGTAAGCTGGGAAAGGCGATTATTAGCAAGCTCCCCATCTCCACTGACAATACTGAGTTATGCAGAACAGCAAAAATAAAAGCAGATCGTGAAAGACACAACTTTCATAGTGTACTTCCAGGAGAGAATGGAATATTCCAGTACCCTATGACAGTGGATATTGGTCAAGAAAGGCCAAGGACCTGGCATGCTATTAGCATCTTAAGATACGGAATGGAGGTAGAGGAGAAAATGATGTTCACTGCACAGCATTACTTTCCAGTGGGCAAAGCAGGAGTGGGCAAAAACAAATAAAGGAATACCTGAAAAGAAAAAATTGGCCTCAAGCAACCTTTAAAACACAAACAATAAGGTGTGTTTCAGTAAATCAGAAAATAAGTGAGAAAAATGCCACAAAAATAAACTAATTCTGAAATGTGACAATAAATTAAACCTAAAAAAATTACCTTTATGTCTTCATTCAAAATAGATTTAGCTACTAGTCTTTAATTTCCTAAACTTTACATGAGAAAAAGTCAGGAGAACAGTATTCCTAAAATAGAAAAGCCCTAGGGTCAAATTGCAGAAAAAGAATTTCATCCTTTTACACTAAATTATTAGCTAGCACATGCTCCAGCACAGTAATCTCAGTCTTCATGTCTTACCTGTCCTAGAAAGGATTTGGCCAGACTAATACAGGGCTGGCTGAAAAAATCTGCTTCTAGCTGGAAAGACTTTTTTTTCTCTGTTGCAAAATATTTGCTGCTTTTTGGAGAAGAGTCCCCATCAGGAGTGGTGTTCAGGTTCTCCAAGGCATCAGAGGGAGGAATGCTGGAGCTCCTTTGGAGAGCACTTAATTCAGCCAACAGCTTTCTTTTTCTTGGCATAGTTCTAGAAAATAGATATAAACATAATTAGAGGATGTAAAGCTTATTTAAAAGTAACTCATGTCCACACAGACGGATTTTTACACATCTCTCCACAAAATGAATCTGAAAGGTTAGACAACTTAGGCAAACTACAGAAGCAGGTGACATATTTAGCTGGGTCTACATCAGGTTAAGCAAATACTGGGCTCTGCTGATACACAAATAGAAAATTGCAGTTTGAGTTTTCATCTTGTAAAGACTCCAGACAGAAAATAACTCTGTTCCACGTAGCAGTAAAAATATGTTTGCTTTTAGTTTAGGAAATTCAGAATTTGAAAATAAATACGAAGCAGTACTATGTTAGTTCTCCAAAAAAGGAGATGATCTGTT